TCAGTCTACTATAAACAAAAAAGCGAAACCAATGAGGATGATTCTAGTATATTTATGGGGAGTTTGGTTCCCATAAAACTGATGTGTGGAGAAGAAGTTGTATGGGAAAATGAAACTCCCAATTCAACTTACCTTTGTCGTCCAATATTTTTCAAATTTATTAAAGAGACGCGAGAAACCATCACCAATGAGATGAACAGGTTAAAATTGGAAGTCGATAATTTAAGTAATACTATTGTTAAAAAACAATCCATATTTCACAAATTGTTTTTCACGATGATTGATGGAAAAATAACATCAGTACTGAGCGAGACTTCGACACAGAGTTGTGATATATGTAAAGCTACTCCCAAAGAAATGAACGAAAGAAATTTGATATCACAAAAATTACCTAACACTGACATTTATAAGTATGGAATTTCGTCACTCCATGCTTGGATCAGATTTATGGAGTGCATTTTACATATTTCTTACAGACTTGAGTTTAAGTCTTGGCCAAAGGCGAAAATAGAGTTAAATTGGAAAATAGGAAAAAGGTAATCCAAGAAGCCTTTAAAAGTACATGTGGGTTACTTATTGATATTGTGAAACAGGTACATGGTACCACTAATGACGGTAACACAGCTCGAAGATTTTTCGCGGACGTAACAACTACTGCTTCTATTACTGGAGTAGACGAAACTCTAATAAGAAAGTTTTCAATAATATTGGAAACAATCTCATCTGGCCTTGCCATAAATACAGACAAATTCAAGGAATTTTCAGATGAGACTATTGCATTATACATTCAACTGTATAAATGGTATTACATACCTGCGAGCGTGCACAAAATTCTAGTGCATGATGCAGACATCATTAAAAATCTCGGTCTTATTCCAGTGGGAAAATTGTCTGAGGAAGCAGCCGAATCCAGGAATAAGGATTTCAGAAAGTACCGAGAACACCATTCTAGGAAATTTTGTAGAAGAGCGAGCAATGAGGATGTCTTTCACAATTTACTAGTTACATCTGATCCATTCATTTCCACAAAGAGGCCGAAGTTGAGTAAAAAACACAAATCGTTGTCTAAAGAAGCACAAAGTTTGGTGCTCGACCATGATACCGAAGAGCAGATAAAGAAAATATTGCTTTTGTTGACGTTGATACTGCATTGAGCGATAGAGAAAGTAACAACGACAGCGATTTAAATACTTTAAACTAAACCGAAATTTATCGTTCACATTTCACTTACTTTTAATTTCAATGTTAGTAGCTTTGTAGTGGATCAGGCCTCCTGGGGACATCACTTTAAAAGAAAACGCATCTGGTTCTTAACCTCTCGGGTGATGTGGAATAAGGGACAAATGAATATTAGGGATAACCGCAAAATAACAAGTCCGAGAACACTTGGGAACGTTAACCAAGAATCACATTTCATATAATAAATTTTGTAAACTTCTTTGTTCTGCAACTCTCAAGATATTAAGTTTTCGAAAAAGTTCGCCTAACATAAAAGGTTAAAAAAAAGCGTACAACACGAATATGTGCTTCATATTTGCTAAGTCCAAAAAATTAAATTCCTGCCCACTGTGCAACGCTTCTACCAAGTGCCGGTCATTTCGACCCCCCATGGCAGCCAACGTGTTAAATAAAATAAACAGCAGTGACAGCGAGATCGATGTCGGCCAATACAAGATCTGAAATCAGAATTTGAAAACAGGTTCGCATTTTAAGAAAATTGAGAATGTTGTAGAAATCCTCAGCAGCATTTACTCTCTGCATCCTGATGGTGAATGGAGCAACGAAGCTGCAAATGTTTTCGGGAGTGATAAAGCTAATCTGCAGATAGAAATGATCGATTTCCAAGAAAACACAGTTTTAAAACACAAACATGCAGAAGTTTTCTGTGAAGAGTTCTGGATAAAATTTGAGTGTGGTAATAAATATCCAGAACTAAAAAAAAATTGCTATGATACTTCTTACTTTGTTTGGGTCAACATATATTTGTGAAGCAGCATTTTCAAAGATGAATTTCATTAAGAATAAATTTCGATCTCAACTTACTAATGAACATCTCCAGGATTTAATGACAATAGCATGCACCAATTCACTCCAAACTTCAGACAGATATAGGGTTGCCAACCATACTTTATAATAACGTATCCTACTTTGTTTTTGGTAACTACACTTTATACTTTTACATACAAATAAAGTATGCAAAAATACTTTATTGTCAACCTTCACTGTGGTGCGTAAAACAAAATACTCATTATGAGTACTTAACGATTCATAATTGCTGAACGAAATATTTAAAACGTATAATGGAAACAATTTTTGATTATGCATTTTATAAATAATGATCAAGAATTTTTAGTGAAAAGTACAGTAGAAAAATGGCAATATATACTTAAAAATGCATCTGATAGCTTAAAAAGTATTTATAATAAAATATTTTTTTTTATATTTTGCCAAATATAAAAAAAAAATTCTTACCTACTCTCAGTTCCTGCAACTTCAGCTTTTACTGAGAGTTTTTTCTGTAATGAATCTGAAGTGGCGAGAAGAGAGAAATAGAGCATCAATAAATTTAATTAAAAACGAATTGTTTATCTATTTAAATTTAAATACTGATTGTCAAACAAGCTTTGTAACATTTAAAGATAACAATAAATTGTTATCATGTGCTTTTAGCACACAAAAAAAATTGAAATATCCTTTTTTTTTCTTCCTAATACTTTATTTTTTTCCTATCCAAACCACTTATATACGTTTTATTAGTCAAAAAAGCGGGAGGAAACGCCCGAGTGTCGTCATTGTGAGGACCACCTAGAGGATACGGTGGAGCATACGGTAGCGGTATGCCCTGCCTGGGCTGAGCACCGCCGTGTCCTCAGGGAAGCGATCGGCGGCGGAGTGAGAGAAACTGGGGCGCCGTCTCCTCCTCTTGTGAAGCAGTCATGCTCGCAAAGAGACAGGCGGCCCGCGTGAGGGACCAATCCTCCTCCTCACGCCCCAGCAGCCGCAACTGGCGACACTACGGGCGTCGGGAATCAATAGACGATCTCCGGCCACCGTAAGTACATGTACATGCGGTCGGCGAGTAACGGCAGCTCGCCGCCCGACCAGAACCAGGCCCGAGCGTACGGCGCGTAGCGTTCCGCGGGCGCCTCAAAGAGCCAATAGACCACCACAGACGGGGCCCTAAAGGGCTGATATTCAGCCGGGGTTGCGGGGTAAGCGCACAGAGCAGGAGAAGGTACAGGGGAGTGTTTAGTCAGTAAAAGTCTGACACTCCCTCCCGCCCGGCCCTGGGCGGGAGAAGAAATTTGATGATTTTCCCCTCACAAAAAAAAAAGAGGATCGATACTACGACTAAAACTTGACGACTGACACAACCGAATTCCATTAGCACTGCAAAACCGAATTCATTTATAATTATATATACATAAAATAACATTTTTATAAATAAAAATTAACATAAAGACTATACCAAAGTTATATATTACTATAAATATATATGTATATATACACACACACACAGACACATATATGTGCGCGCGCGCGAGGCGTAAAATAGATAAATAAAATTAAAAAAAAAATGATAAGCATAAAAAACCCCAATAATAAGTGAGTTGCTACATTAAATATTATATTTCATCAAAACAATATACGATATTTTATACGAACAAATGACGATAGACACATTCATTTTACACACAAAAATATGACTCACACACAACACGAACTTTTAGCAATAAACCACCTAATTCATTTGATAATAATACATAAAATATGTATAATGAAACCAAAAACTCTTTTAGCAGCCAATCAAACAGAAATACATTTATTAGTTTATTTATGGTGATGGTCAATGTTGGCTATCCTAAAATCAAAATGTACATACAAGTGAAAAGAATGGCGAGCGTGACAGATTTTTCTTCTTAAGAATCCGGTTAAAGGTAGTTTTCGATAACGATATCCCAGACAATCAATGCACAACCGACAAAATCTGGAAAGAAATACCATTTCACCGTATCAACGAAGGATGTATGACTAAAGTCCGAGCACATAGATAAGATGGTCAATGTGATATTAGGCAGTACTGCTGCGCTAGTAAGACCAATCCCGTCGGATTAAACTATTTGTTTTGGCTAAGCGAAACGGATAATGAACGGATACCGACAAGCCTTTTTCTTACCTCGATCCTACACTCGGAATGAAAGAATATGAAACTGGGCCGCAACAAAAAAACCAATGAAATTTGTGTTTATCAGTTATTACAATTTCTCAAGAAAACAAAACTGATGCAATATATAAGCTCTCTCTGAATCCGTTTGAAAAACCAGGGCCATCTACTTTTGGGATCTGTAATGAGTAAATGAAAAAACGGAAAGTTGATACTGCTGAGGAAAATGGTGAGATTGGCCCAGGTAAATTCTCTGGCACCAGATTTGTGTCAGTAATGAAACCGAGAGAGATTTGATTTCCTAATAAGATGTATAAGAAAGGACGGTAAAACAATGACTGACGAGAAGCATATGGTAGATTTTTGTCAATCAATGCAGGCATGACTACACTCCTGGCAGTAACATGGCTAAGGATAAGCAATTGCTGGGTTTTCGTTGTCCATTCTAAATTTATATTCCCATATAATAAATATGACATAAAATTCCCCATAATGTGTGACGCTGCCACAAAGTACATGATAGACACCATTAATGCCATATCGCATAACTATATGAGTTTGTAAGCCAAGGGTTTCGGCGCCAAAGTTGTAAAGAATCTGACAGAAAAGTAATAGAAGGATTTGAAAATATTTTAGTAACAGTTAATTGTTATGTTTTAAGTAGCAGGTTCTAATTAAAAGCTGTGTTAACTATTGTATGTTGTTTACACAACAATACGGTAGTTTCCAACTAGTCAAATACAACACTTTTATCCAAATGTCAAAAATGGTACTTTTCGGTGAAATTTGTATGAAAAACTGAGTTATGACGTCGTAGTATTATGCGTCAAATAGCGTACTTATTTCTTAAAAATTACCAAAAAATATCTAAAACTTAGTGTGTCGATCGATCGATGAATAAAAGTATAGTTATTTTTCAATAGTTGATTGTATTGAAACATCGAATACATTTATTGTTGACCTAGGAAACTACCCAGTTGCAAAAATAATTAAAAATTAAAAAAATTTAACAAATAACTGAAAATTTGTACTTACGAGTAAAAAAGGTATTTATTATGTAAATAAATACTCATTACTATTTAAATACTTATTTCTGAAATTCTTTGGAGTATCTGACTACATACTTCAAAGAATTTCAGAAATAAGTAGATATTGTTGACGTTACACGCCAGTTACCCAACCATCTGTGCCAACTTATGTAAATGTAAGGTCAATTGACATGGGCATAACAATTGAAACAATTTTTTTTTTATATTCCTACATGGCTCAGCCATTTATAATTAATTGCCATCCTGGTAAACTAATTAACAATACAACACTATTATATAAATGTTACATCCTTAATTCTGCTTAATATTACAATTGTATAAACTTACTATGAAATCAAAAAGAGACTTACTATTCATTCCACACATGAACATCAAGATAAATGTTTTATCACATTAAAGAATGGTCAATCACTGGTAAAAAAGTTGTCTTAAGTTTTCTTTCATCTCTTTTCATTTCTTATATACATGGTTGTCTAAAAACTATTCATGGGATTTCACGTTTTTCAGTGTTACCACTATCTGTGTGACTTTTCTCGGCTGTGATCAAACTACTATTACCGTTTTTACTCTCACTCTTCTCATCATCACCTTCATCTTCGGCTACATCATCGAAATCATCATCATCATCGCCGGCCGCTAGTTCTTTCTCATCAATTTTCTCTGGAACATCTTCCGATGGTTCATATGAATGATTACTCAGTTTCTCAAGCCACAAGGCTATAGAGTTGTTCTCTACCTCTCCCTTAACGATTACAGGGTATATGTGTTCATGCTTAAACTTCTGTATTTCTTCCTCTTCAGATGTCCAAGTTAAACTATCATGGCTGCCTTTGAATTTGTTGTCATATCTGTCGTAATGAACCTAAAACGTACTTAACCGATAAGACAGTTTAAGTATGGGAGAGCTATGCTTCACGAATAGGTCAGCTCGACCGGAGTGATACCACGGCCTCATAAAACCGGCGTGAAACAACCACAGCGTTGTGTTTCGCCGTGTGATTGAGGTTACCGGAGGCCTAATCCTACCCCTCCCTCAATTCCAAAATTTCCTAAATTTCAAGTGCGTTGCCAACCTTTTGGGGATTAGCCCCAAAAGGTCAGCAACGCACTCGTTACTCCTCTGTTCTTGCCATCTCGTCCATGGACGGCACTGATTGTTTACCATCAGGTAATCCGTCTGCACGTTGGCCGACCTATACCATAAAAAAACAAAATATTGATTCGTAAGCCTAAGCATGTTAGCACACTACGAATCACGCGTACTCTTTTTTTTAAATGCTTTCTGTGCAGCATAACATTACTGCTTTAGGCGTATGCAGTAAATTCTAGTTCTTAAAACCCAATTATTCTCTAAATAAATACTGCTCGTTGTGAAACATTAACATCTCAGCTAAAATTGTTTTTTTTTTATTATTATTATTGTAAACCGTTGCCCCATAGTAGGATTTTCTCCTGTGTCGTGGGTGTGGTTACAAACATACAATTTCACATACTCATGACACCCAGACCCGGAACTGCCATTTATGGATGACACAAAGAGTTGTTCCGTGCGGGAATCGAACCCGCGACACGTTGCACGGCAGCCAGTTGCCCAGCCACCGCACCAACCGTGCAGTCAAAGCAGTCATAGTTTGAATAGAACTGGGAAAAATCTTTGAATTTTTTTTTTTTAAATGTCATATTTAAATGTACATACCGTATCAAGGACAAGCCCAAGACCAGGTGCGGTTGGTATCATAACCTTTTCCTTGCCAAATGCTTTCTCAAGTATAGAATTGTCAGTGTGGCCACGAAGCACAGCTATCGCCAGACCAACCATCTTTCGTATCTGGTGCAGCATGAAGCTTTGACCCTGCAGCAATAACAATAGTTTAAATAATGCTTGTCAACAACTGACGAATAAAAGCACCAGATTGACAGAATACTTCTTATTGTATCTGGACTTTTAAAAGGCTTTCCAGCATTTAAGTAAACACTTGTAAGTCACGTGAAAACAACCAAAGCACGAAATAAACAAATTTTTCTTCTGTAAGTTTGAATTTCACACCCACGGGACCCCAATTGACAAACGGGGACATACTATCGGAATGAAAAGCATTCTAAGTAAAATATTTTTTTTAATAACTTAGCCCCACACTTTTATTTCTCCTGTGTCCTGGGTGCGCTTACAATCATACAATTTCACATTCACATTACAACCAGACCCGGAAAACGAATTGTAAATCACACATGAGTTGTTCCGTGTGCGAATTGACATCGCGATACGTTAAGCGATTGCATCCAGTAGATTTAATACATAAACATTAAGAAGTATTGAAAAATATTGAATATGACATACCTTTACTAAGAGAACAGCGAATTCCATTCCTGAATCAACGAATACTCTGTCTAATGTGAAGCCCATCATATACCTTAGCGATGAAGGATCTTGGTGATGTCTGAAAAAAACCTTTAGTAAATACACACATTAATCCGCAAGGGTGCAAAATATAACATTCATCATCATAATCATCATCAGCCTATAAGTGCCCACTGCTGAGCAAAGGTCTCTTCTCATTCAGAGAAGGTTAGAGCATTGATCACCACGCTTGCTCAATGCGGGTTGGCAATTTCAAACTTATAATTAGAAATTATAAGTCCAGGTTTCCCCACGATGTTTACCTTCACCGTATGTCAGTGGTGTCTAAATAATCATAGAAAGTACATATAACTCGAAAAAAGTCACATTGGGTACTTGCCAGGTTTCGAACCTACACCCTCATGCATGAGAAGCGGGCTCCCTAACCTCCGGGCCACCACGACATTAACATTCAGTTTCTGAGAAATTTTGTAAGTGATTTTTGTGAAGTTTCTTGCTTGTTCCTCTCAATATAAATCTATATTTAAGAATGTTCAGCTAACTTCATTGATTGACAGATTTAGGGGCATTTAACTTAAATGTTTTAAAAGGGCCCATTTATGGATTAATGAAATATGCTTTGAGTCTATGGTGTTGCTAGGAGCTTTTACAACAAAATACCACTGTTACTCAAGAATTGGCTGAAATTATTTTAACATTATATAACTATAAAAATACTGAAAACTAAACATACCTTCATTCATTATTTTACGATATACTTGATATTCGTATTTTTATTGTTAATTCAAGAGAAATAAGTATACTTTTTGACGTTAAAATATGACGTCACAACGTGCTACTTCAAACAAAATTAATAGAAAATTATAGTTTTTGACATTTAGATAAAAGTATTGAATTTGACTTGTTGGATACTACCATATTAAGAAAGGCTCAGAAAAGATACAACTTATGAAACATCTGAGCATAACTCAGAACCTTATTTGTCTGGTTCACTAATAAAGAACTGCCGCCAAGATACGTTGACGGTATTGCACAAATGTAAAGTTTTCTTTTTTCAAGTGCCATGTTCTACAATTTTGACATTTGAAATGCTTGGATACCATTGATTGTTTAAGCGTAACAATTTTTCAATTTTTGAGTGAACTTCTCTATGTGTCTTTGTTGTACCGATATTTTGCGTCTAAATAATTGAGTACTCTGAATATCCATACAAATTAAGTTCTACATTAAAAAAAACGTAGAACGTTAGAATAATTTGTATGTATTACGTCTCACAGAATTCTGGTACTGATATGAAGGTGATATAAAAGGCCGTTAATATAAAACAAATAACTTCACTTACTTCTTTTCAGTAAAATTGTGATAACTTTTAGTTCCCTTGTAAACTTCTAGCACCTTTTTCACTTGTTCTTTTTTATCTTCTGTTATTCTGTATTGCTTTCTCTCTTCATCAGTGATTAAACTAGGCTCAAACACATAAGTGGGAACAGTGTAGCTATATGTTCTCGCATTGCACTTAGATTTTGAGTTAAATTTGTTTGTCACTCTCTTTATACCAAATACTTTGATACAATCCGGCAGTCTTTTATTTATTTCATTTATATCTACCTCAAGAGCTGTGAACAAAATATTAGAATCAGTAATCATAGCATATTATAATTGTCTACCTTAAGATCTATATTGTCAGCCGGGGTTGCGGGGTAAGCGCAATGAGGCACCGCTACCTCGGCCCAGAGCAGGAGAAGGAACAGTGGGTTTTTTTAGCCAGTAAGAGTCTGACACACCCTCCCGCCCGGGAGAAGTCATTTGGTGATTTTACCCATCACAAAAAAAAGATCTATATTGTACAGGACATATTTTAGAATAACTTCATATGCCTACTAGCTTAATCAAAAGTCGTAATTTTAGCACAAACATAAATACATAGATTACTGCAAAAACGATAGGCTTCTTTTTGTTTTGTTTGGATTATCATCAAGTAGACAGGTCTTTTCCTGTCTACTTGACCTTTATACAGCTGGATAATCAGTTTACCATTCATTTGTGGTAATAAGAGTCACAATAGAAGAACTGTAGGTGTTGTGTAAGGTTCGATGAATTAAAATATAATTGTTGTAGCACATGACTTGAAAAGAGACTGACCTCTGAGTTTGTTTCGGCATTTCTCTTCTCAGAGTAGTCAGATAGGAAATGCCGGCTTCATCTAGTTTTTCACATTGCCATTAACGTGTAAAAGTGCCGTTTTATGGCCTATTTGCAAAAATAAATTTATTGTTTCATACACTATGAATATATTGATTACTAGGTATGATGGTAAAAAAAATAGGCCATACTTTGGTCCCTGTGACCTAGTATACTTAATAATGTTATCAGCTTCAAGTCACTGTTATTTTTTTATTTATCATTTGTATGTCTCATGATAGTTACTATTAAAAATACTGCAAAAGTTCTGCAGTCAATTAAGTAATTCAGTATTAAATAGAACACTGCAATTAAAATGACATGATATATGAGCAATGTTAAAGGTTTTTTATTGTAGTTCAAGAATATATTGTAATCTAGATTAAGTTAGTTAAGTAAGAACTTTGTAATATAAAATTTCGTCAAGTGTCTTTAGTGTAAAGTCGTTCTGTCAAGTGTTAATTTAAACTCAACAAAGGGATGTTGTAACATCATTAATTAGTGTATCAAATTAAAGTCCGGTCGCGGAGCAGGAAGAAATTCGTACAATGGCCTGTTATTACCTGTCTCTGTCACTCTCGCGTAAATATGATGCGTCTCGCTCGTACAAATCCAATGACCGCGGCACTCAGGGATTGTGAACCTTTAACCTACTACTGTAAGGTCTGTTTTTGTTTGTTTGTGGTTGTGGTTTTTGGTTGGCCTTGAGTCATGACATGGCTTACTTGACATAATTCATAAATTTTTAAATTCCATCTCGGGATGCGTTAGTGATCGCTCAGTTTTCGGACAGTAATCTCGGTTATCTTAGTTTGTTGTTATTTGTTAGTTCTCTTTTGTTAGTTCTCTTTCTGTTTTGTTATTAAAATTAACAATAAAGAAATAATTTATTTAATAAGCTAGTATTTTTTTTCTCCTTCAAATATTATAAACTGCACTTTATACAAAAATGTTTGTGACCACTGTCAGTAGGTAAAGAGGTCATTGTACGAATTTCTTCCTGCTCCGCGACCGGACTTTAGTACACACAGACGAGTCAACCTAAATACCGCATTCGCCAAGGTTAGGCAGTGATACTGCATAAGAGCTGGCCCCGTCCCTATCTGTTTCATATCGCCGCCGAGAATCAAAGCGAAACAATAACATTGTCAATTTTGACGTGTCCTTAAACAAGCATATGAAAACTAAACTACCTCTCCTCGCAACCCACCACCTTTAAGCGATTTTGTTTTCGTACCGAAGTTTGTTTACATGTGGTCTTTAGGTTTAGTACACCACTAGAACTGTTATTGTCTATTAAAAATATCAAAGTCGACATACTGCAGATCATTGATGATGTAACTCTGGTGTATTGAACTGCCAAACTGTGTACTGGGATGTTAAATTTAAGTAATCAAGGCTAGTATTCATATTACAAGCTTCTTCATGATTCATTAATCAGAATACAAGAAAAATATAAAATAGAAGAGTTAACTTGTTATCAATGTAAAGTATACTATTTGTTATCAATGTAAAGTATACTATTTGTTATCAATGTAAAATATACTAACGTAGTTTCAGTGACACAACCTGTCTGGCAGCGGACACACCCTTGTCCGTCCTAGAACTTCGTTGAAACTGTGTATTCTGCTGATTGTTAAAATCGTCTTCAGTTATATATTTAGCTTCCATTAGTGCTTTCAATAAATCTTCCTCTATTGTTCTTACACCAGGATTACTGGAAATAAGTATTTTTTTATTAACTACAAAAATTGTAAATCTAGGTTTCTGTTTTGAGGAATCTTACTTTTTACTTTTCTATACAATGACATATTGAAAAATAATCATAATTTCATATACTGATTTGTCGGTATTATGTATACTTATTTTTTTTTACTATTCTAGCAAAATTTTAAGTTGTTTGTATTTAGTAAGTATATGGCATAGCTGCTCTTGAGAGCTGTTGATGGTGCTAAGTCATTTTTTTATTACAAGCTGACTATGTGTATGTAGATATTTGACGCGGTATCTTACAACAAAATTTTGATGTAGATATCTTAACTTATTGATCTGAAATGTTGTACACATAATAATAATAATAAGTGATTAGTTGAATATTACCGTTGCATGCCATAATAATCCACACCACAGTATCCCAAAACAAGTGCCATTTTCTTTCTTTTGATCCTTTCTACTGGTCTTTCACAAAGTTTCTTCTCGTCCGATTCACCATTCTCATTTTTGTTTGGATCTGGATCTTCCCATTGTCTCTTCATGAATCGTTTTTTGAACCTTGTCAAATTTTTATTGAGTACTAGTTCTTGAGATTCTTTTTGGTTTTCATCTGCTACTTTTTCTACAGTAGCAACGTCCATTGCTGATATAGACCGCACATGTAGTACTAAAACAAATTAAAGGAAATTGTTTGATTTACATTCTCGTATAGACACTACTTTTACTGTTGATCTAGATCCTAGGTTCGTCTTTTTAGGTATTGTTACTAGTTCTGTTCTATGATGAGAGATATTGACTAAGTGGTTTTTAATCACTGAAGTCTAACTGTGAGACTATTATTAGGTTGGAATTCTAATGTACAAACACATTTTTTGGAGGTTTAACTTATTCATACAAAAATCATGACGAATCGCCGCCAACTTTTGCGATGAAAATATAAATTAAGGTTATTAAAAAGTTTATGTTTTATGAAGTACCCAGTAAAACATAGTAAAAACGTTAAAAGGGAACATTCAGCATAGATTACAGGTTAAGCAACAAAAATATAAACACGTAAAAATGTTTTAGGTATCCTAAGGTTTAATTTAAATGCGGTAATATCCCATGTGTTTATGACATTTTGTTACAGACCTGATTTAATGGGATGTCTCGGCAGATTTTGTCTCAGTGTATTAACAAATAATCTGTAAAATATTACGGACATACCTACAGTCGAATACTTTATTGACAATCACAACTGAATACACAAAAACAGTAAAAATTCTCAAGCAACGATAGTTTTACAACCAAAACCACAGTCAGCCATTTTTAGTTTTCTTAAAGTTGGCTATTGCTATATGGTTTCGGTTTGGTGTGTCATTGTCAAACAAAAACACAAAAACCATAGATCGAGTTCATATGGTGGAAGGACTCTACTAAAATTAGTTATAAAAATACTTTTTGTAGATTGTGAACCGATATTCACAAATTAGTTTATTAAATAAATAAATAATGTTAGGAAGTTTTTGCATTGTCGGATTCCCTTTTTGAATTTCAATACTTCACACCATTCATAAATAAGAAAAACTTTTTAAATAAAAAGAAATGTAACAGACTCGGCCCGGGATTCGAATCCAATAATCTGATGTTACAAGAGTTAGCAGAATTTTGTTACAGTAAAGAGGCTAAATATCACGATTGTAAACTACTTGAATATCAATCACCATTAGTACAATAAATACTGGCAATTAAACAGCTTTACTTTATTTCTGAAATATTTGGCCCTATAGAGCTGATGTTCAGTTGGGGTTGAAAAGCGCAACAAGGCACCGCGGCCTTAGCCTTGAGCAGGAGAAGGAACGGGGGTGTTTTAGTCAGTAAGAGTCTAACATTTTCTCTCACCTCACCATGGGCAGGAGCACCCATTTAACGATTCTCTAATAATAAAATAATATTTAACTACGTAAAAAGTTGTTATAAGCATATTTATCTAAATTTGTCGCATCACGTATAAGTTGCTGCAAACATATCTAAAGTCATACTATAGTTATCTGTCTATACTAAAGAATCAGGAATATGAACGCCTATAAACAGCGCATGTTTCACCCTGTCTTGACGGCTCGACGCATGCGTATAGCGCTAACGTATATGGGGCAAGGTTTTCAACTCAGCATGGGTTGACGCAGTGCTCACAAAATGAGGGGTGGAAGTTCAGAACGTTTGGTTGTGCGGCCCTCTCGCCGTAGAGGAGAAACGCGTGCTAAACTGACACGCTATATCACGGTAATACTCGCTACTTTGTTGGGAGGTGGTGGGTCCGCGCTACTGTTTCTCGTACCACTATACGCAGACCCAGCTCTAAGTGCACTAGCGGCAGACTTCGATCCGGTGCCAGCAGAGTGTGTTACCGAAAGACGAGATGACCGACTCGGCTTGGACAACTGCACTTGGGCTTCATGTCGAGAGGGCTGCACCAGCGATGCGTATAAATGCACACAGTTACACGTAAAGTATAAAGCTCACTCGGAGGAATGGCGTCCAGCTGTCCTGTTTGTCAATATAAAAGGATGCGGCTATCCACCTGCAGTCGACTGTGAAAATTTTACAACGAGCTACGGCTATGTAGGAGCCAGGTATCCTTGTTTTTGGTCAAGAGCTGATACATCGGTCGTTGTGCCACGTTGGTCTCGTGGAGAACAAGTAGCTACCGTGACTAGGACCTTGGCCGTACCGCTGTTCCTGTCTGGCTGCGCTGGGATTGGACTATGCGCTCTGCACTGCGAATGCAAGCCTCGTCGCCGCCGACGTCCGCCGCGTCGCCCCCCGCGTTTGCCCACTCTCTCGCCTGATGACACATCAGTCTACCGACTAGCTTAGTCATAAACGAAATAAGCACAAATTATATTTTCGATAGTGTCAATGTAAATAAAACATGTGTAAATATATATTATATATATTTATCAGCAGCTATATGCTGTCTGTATATTTTACTTCATATTCATCAAAACCAGATTTTGAGGGTAAAGGGAAACTAACGAAAAGCTATTAAAAACCAACTATTTATTGTATAAAGAGATGCCAATAAAAAATTAAAAGAAATTAGTGTTTTATTTTCGTAGCATTAAAAAGCTTATCACTGCTGTCTTTACTGATAAAAGAAGGAAAGAAATTAGTTGATCCTTTCACTGACATTTTATAAAATATCTTGATGCAGAATAAAAATACCAGGTATACAAGTAAAATATTTATTTCAAGGTTTATAATGTGTCTTTAACTTAATTCTTTATGACATACAAAATAATTTTCAATTTCAGTTCAGTCCAATGCCAATGTATACTACATATCCTTCAGTCTTCGAACAATCATTCAATTTCTACATTGATATACATGTGTGTACTTATTTTTACAATATTTAAGCCATTTTTATATACCATAAATAATTAACATTAATTAGAAATATTTCTATGTTGGCAGTTTTTAAGTATTTTCTATTAGAAGCTGATTTATAATATATTATAGGTAACTTGGGAAGATTTTATTTATTTGTCGACCACTTTAAAATTTCAGAGAGTAAGGCAAACATTTAAATAATGGAACTAGTGCTGCGACATTGATAACGACAAATAAAAAAAAAATAAGGCAGAAGTATATGGAAGTAATAAGAAATTGTAGGTAGCGAATGATGATCTTTTAAATATACTAAATAAATTTAGATATACAAGAATAAAATAGTTTTGGTAACTATATTCTTTAGGCCTTGTTTTAGACCTGATTCCATGAACAACTATTTATGCCCGAAAGAAAAATAATGACATGACTATTTATATAAAATACAAAATCACGAAAACTTTAATAAACCCGCATAATAAGTTTTAAAGGGAAAAGGGATTTCTAGATCACAGGGAAGGGGCTAGCTAACTTAAATTATGTTGAATGAGGTCATATAGTTTTAGAAAGTACTTTAGACATCGTTTTGGCTACCGTATCCATATAAAATCAAGTAAAAAAACCCTAATTTACATTTACCAATCACTCTACTCATCTTCCCTTCTCCCTTTTACAAGATTATGTATACTAAAGTTATACAGCCAAATGTGTGATGAATTGATAAGATTTGATACGTCAGTAGAACACGAATTTAACTCAAGGTATTATAGTCACGTTAGTTGACACCACATATTTAGTCATATCATACCATATGTTACACAGTTTTCATAAAAAGTGAACATGGAACGGAATCTTACAATTCATCAATAAAATACCTAAGAAAATAACTAAAACATCGCACTACAAATGAGCAATAAAAACGTTTTTAAAAACAAGATTCTATTCCATAACACGTTACGAACCTCTTTTCTGCTTATAAAATCTATCCGTGCATACACTTTTCTAAATTCAAATTGCTTAGGGTGGCAATAATATGGCTTCTTCGGCTTAAACGCGGTATTAATTTTAATAAGGTCGGTCAATGTAACCAACTGTATTCTGCATTTTTAATAAAATTGTTTAAGGCACACGCTACATAGCGTGACGGGTTTAAAAACGCAGGTGACATATTTACAGTAGTTTCATTTTTATAGGCAGAAAAGGAAATTAGTATAATATAACAATAATTTAAAATGTATGTAATCACAACCACTCTACATCCAAAACAGCAAAATCGATTTAAATAACTTACTTTACAATAATATGACTCGCATTACAATGTAATTAATTAGCATAATTTACTACAATAATTGCTATTTCGGATACAGTATTAAAAATGTTATACTAGATTAAGGTGAAATTGAGATGACAAGACGAATATTTGTGAGGTAAAATTTGCAACAGAAATTCGAGAATTTACGAACTTAACGTTCGTACTGAACACATGCGTAGCAAGCAGTATATATGACTGGTCCTTGCAAAAACTGCCGTTCAATTCAGTCTTGTTTTTACTGTAAAACCGTTTTGCCACTTACGGACGATTCGTCTCAAATTTCACCTTTAACAATGTGTACGAAATTTCTAACTATGTATAAATAAGGAAATAACGAGCATCAAACGTTTTATTTGATGATCGAATTAAAAAAGTATTAAGGCAGTCGTAACGTGACAAAACATGGTGGTAAATGTAAAAATTTTGAATTAACTCATCAACGGGCCTTTGTATGGAATGTTATATATATTAATAAAATGTTATATACACAACAAGATTATTAATATCTGAAGGTATACCTGCTCTAAAGATAGAGGGTAATTAGTAAAAAATCCAGGCGCTTATGTTCAATTCAAAATGTGAGGAACTTCAGTATTGACAAACGTCGCATCATAAGCTCCGACCGACCGATCCGAGAATTCTTTAGGTAAGTACATCTCACATCCAAAACGTAGTATTAGGTATTTGTTGAATTTGTCAACTTTATTCGATTAGAGCGCATATTAAAACAATATAATCGACTAAAATATGTAAATTAATAAATTGTTGATAATTTTAAACACCATGTTATGTCAATCGAAGCTACATCACCATTAAAATTAAATGCTAACAACGCTTTAAGTAGCTAATTCGAGATTAGGTGATTGAATGAAATTGCCTCACTATATCGCTAACTTAGGAAATGCACTATTGAGAAGTTATTATTTTAGCTAACTTTAAATTGGCAATTATTTATACATGTTTTTAAAAATGCTGTTGCAACAACTACTATGTTTTTGTTCGTTTTTTTTACTTTTGTTTTTGGAGAAACGGCATATAATTTTATCAGGTTGATAAAAATATTTTGTTCATGTATCAGCAAGTTTTAACAGTACATATTAAACATCTATAAGTCTTAACTATGTATATTGGTATAACGAAGCAACATTATTAAACTTCTCAATTATTATTGCTATCCGAATAATGTGATAATATAAATTAATGCAAGCAGATTTGAAATTATTGTATGACTTGCTTTAAGAATAATAAACCTTAGTTTTTGAGTAATAAAGGTGTGAATATAATTTCACTCAATTGTTTTAAGAAATAAAATTGAAAGGAAAACTGGTGTGAGACAAAACACTTTTAATTTAATGTATTTGGGTGATAGAGAAAACTCCTTTTGGAACTTGAAGTGATATGGGTTAAACATATTTTAACAGGCACTTTTTGATAGTTACATTCTACGCTAGTCTTGCTAGACATCAAAGAATAATTTATGACTAAATTGAAAAAGAGCAAATTTCGTTCACCCTCAACATCGCAACTAGAACCACTAAGCAAGTCTATATACAAAAATCACTCAATCACAACTTGCAGTATACTGTCAAAGCATACATTTTCAACTACGCGTATAAACAACGTTGTGGAATATAATATATACATTAATACTATCATATATAACTAATAACTACACATACTTTTAATTCCATCGATAACAAGTAAGATCATTTAACATCGATAAGAGTAAAAAAAATAACTAGTATTTGAAACTAATGACCACTCTCAATAGAAATTTTAGTTATATGACAATTTTTAAAGCATTTCTATAAGGTAGACCTGTAACAAACTATGTAATGAAATCTAAGAATGTGAAACTTGACAAATTAAAATTACATGTAGATAACATGCTAACAATCATATGGAATATGATAGAATTGGAAGAAAATATATTGAGTTTGGGTTCAGTATCTATATGTCCATTTCACTTGATGATAAGGGCATATCTTAAAAAGCTTAGTTTGGTTTCTTTTCTAATTAATTTCATGACCGATCAAAGTTTCAGCCGATATTCAACAAATAATATCTAAAATCAAAAGTATGTGTAATCAGTTGTCTGTATTCATGACAGTTGAAATTGCAACGAAAAAAAAACCTGTATTTTACGTCTGTGTGTGCAAAACTACATGTAACAACTATACAAAATACTTTTTTATATTTTTGTACTCATTTCAATCAAAGTCGTAGTCTGCTTAAATCCTTCTTTACATTTACTAGAGGTTCATCCTTGTAAGTCAAAAATACTCTAATACAAGCACGCCATAACACTGTCACGTAATAGTTTGAAAGAAACAAAATATAAAATCAGTCCTTGTCATCACAATCAGAACTTTTGACAAGTCTTAGACTCAAAAGGATAGTAAGAAAAATCGAGGTATTATAGCAACAAGGTATATTCATGAATACAGACTTTAATAAAGACTAGACATGATCATAGAACAACCTGTGACATCTGTGAGGCTAGCCTGTACCTCTTCCTCTCGATATCTACATTGGCGTCTATGCCACGTTTCACAGCCATACTAGTTGAGGGTTGAACATCTAAACTAGCATCAATAAGTCTACTGGACCTACAATACCTGTAATCAGCCGATGTGTTGACACGTTGCATGGTCATGTCTACGGCAGTGGGTAGAGTGTAGTAATTTTGTGTGTTGACATTCTGAGGGACGTTTGAGTCATTTAAGTCTAAGACTGAGTAGTTGGTGTCAGGTCGACGTTCTACTGGGCGCTGACGGTAGGAGGTGTCTACGCGGGAGTGACTGCGGGAGGACGATGACGAGCTGCAAGTACTGGAGGCCGGCGATACGTGGAGGGTGGGGGACGTGCTCGGAGTCTGGTTAGGGGACGTCCGAGCACTGCTGTATCCCTGGTCCACGTCAGGTTCCACAGACGTCTCACGTGATTTGAGTATTTGCATCATCCTGTAATTAATTATTTTTTTATTATTATTGCCTATGCAGTGTATGTCTACACGAAGTGATATTAATGCTCAGGTATTCGCTTCGGTGGTATAACCATATAGGGATATCAACCAAAAGGGATATCGACCAGCTCTTTAGGAGCGTCTTTTCGGCCTTTGATCATCATTATTAATATATAGCCGAAAATCATTTTTTGATGTATGTGGTCTCTGCCAAACTAGAAACAGGTGAACTAAATTATTGGCCTGATGTTAATGAATGGCGAAATGCCAATAGTTTCTTTTTTAAGAGTATGTACCTACAGTGCGCGGCAGTAAATTTTGCAAATCTACCATAGTGACGGTCGGAAGATCGCTCAAATAAGACAAACAAGTCGCCGAGTATAGTGGTCATAATAACGCCAAAGATTTGAAACTGATTAGTTACTTCACGTAATTAGTGAAACCCTATTTTTCGATATATTATAATAAATACGAGACAAGATTGAAAATGGTTTCAAAAGTACTCGCATATTTTAGTTAGGATAAAACAAATAATTTTTTGGTAACGAATTTGCGATATCTTGTGTAATAGAAAGTTTTTACCAGATTCAAGGAATTTATAGGACACTGTAAAACTTATTAGTTTCTTTTCTATGAACGTACTTAATTTTTCGGTACAAAAAATGAATGTACTTAATTTTTTTAAGAAAACATTGACCCACACTAGGATTTTCTCCTGTGTTGTGTTTGCGTTTTTAAACATGCAATAACACCACACCCAGACCCGAAACAACAATTTGTGGATCACACAAAGAGTCGTTCCGTGCGGGAATAGGCAGCCAGTTGCCCAGCCACCCGTGCAGTCACGTGTTTAATTGTCTACTTCTGAAAGTCGATGTGGAATGTTTATCTCGAGGTAATGTTGGGCCTTGTTACCTCTGCAGTAGTCGAGCGATGGGCGCGACGGCGGCGGGCTGTCGTCCGGCGAGGGCGGCGAGCCAGGCCGGCCACGCGACCAGCCCCAGCTCGGCGCGAGCGCACGCCACGCACGCGCAGCCCACGTCCACGCACTCCACCACTTTCAGCCGGACATCTGTATACAAACAATATTATACCATCATTATTGTACACATAAGTACAATACATACTTTAATTTTAATTCTTCTTCTTGTACTTTATTATACCGATCATATTCTCACTGCACCCAAGAGGTTGGCTAGCGAAAATGCTTGTTGGCATTAAGCCCACCTATGTACTTTGTGCATAAAGTGGAATAAATAAATAACTACCTGACCTGGCAAGCTTCGTTCCGACTCAAAATTAACTTAAGTTTCCTGAAACTTAAGTTATTTTAGAAAAAAAAAAACAGTTTAAAACTTACCAGACAGGGTCAAGTCTAAATAAGCTTCTAGTGCCTTTGCGCCATCTCGCTTGAATCGTCTGACAAACTTGGGATGTCGGGTTGTGAGGTCACTGTCGGTGACCACATATTGGGCCAACAGTGCCGCATAAGAAACTGGTGTTGGTGACAACAGACGCCAACGTACGTGTTGCCCGACCATCCATTCCAACTGCCTGAACGTCTTCCCACACAGGTGAACTCCACTTATCTTCGACAAAGTCTTCAATGTGGGCGCTCGACTGAGATTTTCCTCGCTTTTTGCTGTGGACAAAAATGTACTTACATTTTATTTTTTGTGGTAAAAAAACCGATCGACAATGGATAAGAGTTGCTGAGTTTGGGGAGTCTCACATATGAAAATACAACGAAAGCATTGTTTGACATCGGTTCTACTCCGGTCTAGCCGGCCATTCATACCGAAGCATGGCTCTGACACGTATAAAGGACATACAATATTATGTCTTAACTATACCAGGTGCATAACACAAATAAATTAAAAAAAACATCACACATACCTGCTAAACTCAAGCAGGCCAAAGCGACGTGCGTAAGTCGGTCGGCCCTGAGTCTGTGAGCGTCCATGAACAAGTCTAATTGAGCCACCGCTGAGTGCAAGGTCGCAATGCTAAGACCCAATTTCTTGGTGACGTCACGAAGCTGCTGTACTAAGGCTCCACGGAACTCCAGCTGTGAACAGAGATAAATGTTATCATTGACTTTCGTTTTATTCACTTAAAAACGTTTTAGATTTTTTGTAAAAATAACTGATCATATCGTGCGTAGCGTTGTGGTGGCCGGGAGGTTAAAGAGCCCGCTTCAACTCCTCATGCGTGAGGGTGTAGGTTCGAAACCTGACAAGTACCTGACTTTTTCAGAGTTATATGTAATTTTTATGATTATTTAGACACCATTGACATACGGAGAAGGTAAACATCGCGAGGAAACCTGGACTTAAAATTACATATTATAAGTTTGATTCACCAACCCGCACTGGGCAAGCGTGGTGGTTAATGCTCTAACCTTCTCCTTGTGAGATGAGACCTTTGCTCAGCAGTGGGCACTTATGGGCTGATGATGATGAACTGATCATAAATGGTATCCCAAAATACAAAACTCTAGTATTGTTTGACTAAATATTAGGGATGTTAAGAATATGAAATTTCGGATATGGATTGGATACGGGAATATGAATGATTATAATACTGGATCCTAGCTAAAAATTTTTTTTTTCATTTTTGTGTTTTTTTTTTGTAATGGTTGAAGTTTGAGTATATACGTTTTTTTCATAAGAGTGTAGATCAACAAGCCAAGCTGTATGTTAATCTAGTATTTAATTAAATTTAAAATTTATAACATGTATTTTATTTCACAGAGAAGTTTAGATCGTACGTGTCTTAATAGACTTACGACTGTTCATTATTTTATGTATGGTATAAATCCCATTTTAATAGAGGTTCGTTCGCCAATAGAAAACGAACAGATTTCCAGCTAACATACCGCTTAATGCTACTTGCATGTTTTTTATTATAAGTTTTATGTTTTTTATTAGATTCAACCGATCAAATGCTAGGTCACCCAGGTACTGATATTATGAACGTGGAAGTTTGTGCGAATGTATTCGAGTAGGTATATGTATGTTTGTAAGTGTTTCACGCAAAACTACTGAACAGATTGGAATGGAATTTAACCTTAAGTTAGATTATTATGTCTGGAATAATACAGGATATTTCGCAGATGGAGCAGGTGACCGAAACTAGCAGTTCTCGTTTATAATATTTTGCGGCCACAGAGACAACGGATTCAGTCAAATATTGATATCCTAATTAAGTTAATCAGCTAACGAACTCGTTTTTATGAGACTAAGTAAACTATGGCCAAGGCTATAAATTACGTCATTTGGCACATTGTGTTTCTGGTCTAAGTAACCAAAACTCGGTCTACTTTCATGACACATTTGACAGAATGGGAGTAGGCTACATTGGCATTGTCAGATTAATCCCACATTTTTAATGAAGCATTAAATAGCGTTGTTTGCCATAGTGTACCACTGCTTCTGTTAAACAGATGGCTTCTCAGCCCTGGGCGGGGCGAGGACTATTAGACTCTGACCACGTCTGAGCCGAGCTGTGGAACAGCCTTTGCACCCGCCACCTATGGTGGAAATCGCCTTTAGAGACTTCATCTGATTTACGGACAGTAGTACTTGGTACCTGCTTGGGACGCAGGTAAAACAATATCGGTAATGAGGCCCCTGCACGGAGCAAAAGAGACTGAACCGCTACAGCCTCACCTTAGAGCGGCCGGCCTTTTGTTTCCCAATGAAACACTTTTTTTCTAGTGCATATACACACACATCTCATTCTAGTGAAAACACATTGAATTTGTGTAGTATTTGAGCTTTGCATCGATTAAGATCAATTAATCAATCAGTAAAGGAATCGGATTATTAAACAATGCATGCAAATAAATTGTACCTACAATTACTTTAAAACTGGTCAAAAAAATACCCCTTATCTTATTGCACAATTAGAAAGTCCTACGTGAAATAATGAAACAATAACCTACGTATTAATCCAAATTTACCTACTTATTTTTATCCGTTTCCAGTACAAACTAGTTTCGACAACTCAAAAATGATATACATTCTTTATTGAATCTAGATAACGCCAGTCCTTAAAAAAAATAAGAGGCTGAAGTTTCGGGACGGTCAAATTGTTACGTTGTAAATATTTTTCGCGCCTTGTTTGCTTACAATAAACGCAGGTAGGTACAAGGATATGCCCCTAGCTATGGGCACCCTAGTTAATACAGTTTCTTTGTAAATAGCACCTGGTATTCTGTATTCCGTTGCAAAATCTTACAAAATGATGCACCTTTCTACACTTATAATCTTTGCAATTGAGAATTTGTTTTTTTTTCATTTTGCGGAGCTCCCTTCTGTTATAAACGACACACCTGGTATGGTATAAAGCGAAACAATTTTACAAAGATAAGATCGAAAATATTTAATTTCGTTCGAATCTGGTGTTATATCCCTAGGTGTTTTTTAAAAACATGTAGCTTTAACTATGAATGTTTTTTCCTGAGCTGTGGTGTGGTGGGTGCGTTTACAAACATAAAATTTCACAAACACTTTACACCCAGACCAGGAACAAAATTTGTCGATCACACAAAGACTTGTTCCGTGCAGGTATCGAACCCGCTACACGTTGCACGGGAGCCGGTTGCCCAACCACCGCGTCAGTCGTGCAGTTAAAAGTTTTTATACGTACTTAGATGTAAGATCGTAATTGATTTATTTAGATCGCTCTCTGTTCATACAAATGACGGCCTAAGGGGAGACAGGCATTTAAATGTTGCAACACTTTTAATATCAATGCAATCAATTGGTACAATGGAATTTGATCTCTAAATACTGGGAGCTAAAGCTGAATGCAGAATGGAGGGACAGAATGATGAAATAACTTGCGTAAAATGTAGACGATATGAATCATATAATTAGGTACATTCAATAGCTTAGGTTGAAATGTCCTTATTTCAAATAATCAAATCGAATTTCGTCATTCGTTTTGTTTACAAATAAACGCTTGCGCCCCATAAGGCTACGACACGTCATAAGGACAATAATCCTACTATCTTACTTATATTATAAACGTCAAAGTTTGTGAGAATGTATTGATGTATGTTTGTTATTCTTTAACGCAAAAACGGCTGGACTAATTTGGTTGAAATAGATATGTGTTGCGTCTCAAGTTCCTCACAAAAATGTAAAGGCAATGTTACGTCGTATCGAGACTATAATATCTAATTCAAGACACTTGGTGCATTTGCATTGTATTCCGTTGAATTCGTCATTCCACCGCCACCCGCACCTCTGTACGCACAAATTAGAAATATATTGTTCAAAGTTTTTTCGGACTTTAAAGCCCCAGTGTATATAAATATACAATAGGTGATACTTTGGATTCACACAAAGGCTATCAAAATTCCACGCGGGCGGGGGCTAGTGTTACCGACAAAATATACTATTAAAATAATCATAAACGCGAAAGTATGAATCGACAGATGGATGGATGTTTGTTACCCTTTCGCATTAAAACTACTGAGTGGACTACAATTAAATTTATCTGGGCAGGGATAGACTGTAGTCTGGAGTACAACATAGACTTTTTACCAGTATTAGGGAAAATCTGGCTGTAGCTAGCTAGTAATAAATAAGTTTATTAAGCTTTTACGCCAAAACAGTTAAACCAAGTTTTGAGACGGGTAGACGAAACCGGACGGGGCTAGGCGAACCTTTTTTTACAATAAAAAAAAGTTGAAACCTTTCAAATCCATTTTAAAGCTCCACTCAACTTGTTAGATTTTCGTTCAACAAGGGATGAGGTCTGTTAAACATTTAGGCAAATGTTATAACAATACTAGGTTTCAGAAAAATTTGAAACAATAATTCTTTGTAAACGACAGGAAATGAATACGAAACCCCGTTCTTGCTACTTCTATTCAAACAAAAACAGGCTTTGTTTGTTAGGAGCAGATTTAAACCTTAACATCACATTATACTAATGTTTCCAACAAAGTAACAGAGATAGGTAGCTGACTATTATGGTCGATTGTAGAAAATTCTGGAATTGTACTTCGCCTATGACAAAGGACTCACCCTCGGTGACTTGGGTCGCTAACTCGAAATATGGGTGCAAAATTTCATTATTATACATATACACCTCTAGATAAGGGTGACGTTTGGCTATGTAATTTATGTAGCACGCATAACCAGTATAAATTGACCGTTGAATATGCAGAAAGCTCATTCAAAATGAGAACATAATAAATGGCTTTAAGTGTAGCTGTGCGTAAATACATGCATTTGATACAGCTGTGTTTACTATTGAAGAATCCATTATTTTGTTTTGTATGATAGGTACATAATTTACAACATTTAAAATGGTAGGATTCGTAAACAATAATCTTCAAAGGTCGTGGTGGCCCGGTGATTAAGGCGCCCGCCTCTCATGCGTGAGGGTGCGGGTTCGAAACCTGGCATGTACCAATGTGACTTTTCCAAGTTATATGTACCTAATTTCTATGATTATTTAGACACCACTGACAAACGGTGAAGGAAAACATCATGAGGAAACCAGGACTTGTTATTTCTAAGTATATGTTCGAAATCGTCAACCTGCCTTGAGCAAGCATGGTGATTAATGCTCAAACCTTCTTCTTGTGGGAAAAGGACTTTGCTCAGCAGTGCATGCTTATAGGCTGATGATATGAGCTTTCAAATACATACACTTAGATCTAATACTGTCCTGACACTTAATCATGATTTTATCAATGCTTGCTTTCAAGTGCATTTAATCAATTGTGTCCTTTCCACAACAATAACATAGTCAATCGATCCTAACCGATGTTTTGTCCGCAAAGGAGCAGACGGAATACCTGATGGTAAGTAATCGGCGCCGCCCATAGACACTCGCAATCCTTTGGTATTGCGAGTGTCTACAAATGCTTTGCCGGCTTCTTGTGGCTTATTTGGGATATTAAAGGATTGATGAACTCAGACAGAACCCTAGACATGTATTTATATTGAATTACTATTGTTGGTCATTTCAAATTCGAACACCTAGTATGGTCCTATTATGCCTTCAGAGTAACCTGTTTTCAGCCAATATTGTGAAGGCTCCAAGTCAACAAGTGAAATGTTACAGTCCCCCATTTTATTTTGGAGTTAAGTTGTATATCGCGCCTGTAAAGTTTTGGCCGCTCGTCCCGTGAATGAAAAAGATATATAAAAACTATTATAGTCGCCTTTATCAACAGAAAGTCGTGGTGGCTCATAGGTCGCGAGGACGTAAAGCGCCCGCCGCGTTTCATGCATGAGGGTGCGGGTGGTTCGAAACCTGGCAAGTACCAATGTGATTTTTTCCGAGTTATGTGTACTTTTTTATTAATTTGACACCACTGATATACATAATTATAGCGAAGGAAAACATTGGTGAGGAAATCTGGACTTATAATTTGTAATTATAAGTCTAAAACAGCCAATACACCTTGAGCAAGTGTGGTGATTAATTTTCAAACGGTTGCCATATGGAAAAGGGCTCAGTGCACACTTATAGGCTGATAATGTGATGTGATATTATAAACAGAATATTAAACAAATTATCAAGACTTCTATTTAGCTAGAAATGGGTCAAGTAATGTTAAGGGCAGTTTTATATGAAGGTCTTAGTCTGGTTGAGGCAGCCCATTTGTAGTGAAGTATGTATTTACTACTTGATAAGTAATAACTTTAATATCATACCTGAGGTGATTGAAGATGGATAGTTGGCTTTTCAGCTTCCTGTTCTAGTAGACTCTTCCATATTTCCTCCTTGTATTCACAGTGGTATTCTTCATCTTGGTCTGTGAGGTGCTGTAAATGAAAAACATTTTTTAAGTATAGAAAAAAAAACAACATAATTTATCTTATGATTATTAGTTGACGCTGTTTTATCATTATGATGACAATAATATAAGGATTTCTTTTGGTGATATTAATATTTGTAATATGTGAATAAAAATATAGTTGAGAACTATTCAGAAGGGATACACTTGTTGTCAAATAAATAGTTTTAACTAGGTTTTGAAATAGTTAAGCTGGCTCTTAGATATTTCTAGAAAAATCCCTATAGCATGGAGGTCTTTATTAAGTTTGAAATTTTGCGTTAATAAAATTATCCAATACCTATATAGTTTAGAAATAATCATGAAAACCTGATATCATGTTTATTGGCATCATTCCAGAGTATAATAGTAAGTATATTCATAGGAATGACTCATTGTCTTTACATCTATAAAAGAAAGTTACTATTCATTGACAAGTGCAAAGATATTAGGAAGCAACTACGTTTATAATAAAAAATATATAGAAATTAAACAGTGTAACTATTTTTTGTTTTCTAAATTCTTAAGGGTTTTTTTATGAGGGGAAAATCACCAAATGGCTTCTCCTGTCCAGCCCTGGGCTGGAGGGAGCCTCAGACTCTTACTGCCTTAAAATCCCCTGTTCCTTCTCCTGCTCTGGGCCGAGGCTGCGGTGCCTCATTGCACTTATGGCAAATTCTTAAGGAAAACATTCCAAATTGTCAATTAACTAACAGAAACATAAAATAGGATATTTTTTTTAAACCAATACCAAATATTTCAATGCTGCACTGTAATAAGCAATGTTCAATGTAAGAATTGTGTTATCATTAATATTGAATGTGAATCTCATTAAATACTAATTAATTAATCATTAAAATGTGATTAGCATTATCTTTTCAAATATTTAGAAGTCTAAATCAAAATTTTGAACATGTAATTAGGTTTTTTAATAGTTTTCTTAATTACAAGCAACACTAAACTTTAAATAATAGGACCAAAATCAAAATTATTTATTTTTTATTTTATTATCTATGAACTATGGATATATTAGTAATAATGAAATTATATATAAAAAAATATAAGAAGTCCTTCCATTTTTTTTGTTGGTTTTATTGTGCTAGGGTAAATGTAATATCAGCTGTATAAATATTGTTATGATAGTAAAATGTTTCGTAAAACAGCTGTTTGATGTCATCATAATTATAGTTTAGCTATACACTCAATTCATTAAGATAAGACACTCATGTTTTAACTCAAAAAGAACATAAACAAACTGCATTATTTTTGTTAAGTTCACAAAATTTTGACATTCTTTATTTGGTCATGAAAAATGATCTGTTTCGCGAATATTAATCCTACATAATGACATCCTTTGTCCAATTTATTTTCTTAGATCTTGTATGTGGCGCAATACTCTTAATCATTGGTACAGAGCTAACAATTGTAAAATATATCATACGTAAAAAATAACACATGGTAAAATGCTCACATTTCGTTCGAATTTTTCTTCTGTCCTTTCAAACTTCACGCCGTTGTGTTGGGAGCTCTTGCTTCTCCCGCTATACAAGTTCAGGTCCGAGATGTTCAACGACTCCATTTCTTCTTTTAATTACGGTCAGGAACTTTTATAAAAGTAGAAAATTAACACGTCGACCAAATTGTGACGTGAACCACGTGGAAACAAGTGTCAAATATTAAAGCCGAAAACTGTAACAGAATTAATTCTGTCGTAATAATCTATTGTACCGTACGCAAGCATCACTTTTCCCATTCAAGTAAAGCACAAGAACGCCGAGAAAATATCACAAAGGACTGTATTTTAATTTGATTCCTTCACATGGCGGAGCGCAGCGAGCTTGTTCGTAACATTTTGACATGACAAATGAAACTGAGTGAGTGACAGAATGAACAAGCGATAGCAGTGGTTTCGTTCGAAAACAAAATTAGACGCTACTGAGTCCATAGACAAAAATGAAAATACAAAACTCGACTAACTGTTTTTGAACGGAAAAAGTTTTAGTTTACGGTTTTCTGATTTTAAAACTATTCAAGACTTGTATAAGATAATTGTTAATTTCGTGGCCTATTGTTTGTCTAACATGTAGTATTTTTTAATTACGAAAGGAAGCAATTAACGAAAAAAAATAGGTGTTCATCTGCCCATATATGGTAATATCAATGGGCGACACTAATGCCAACTTTCCAAAAAAATATTATTGTACGTCATTTTTTTGGTAGGCTATGGGACTTAGCGGCTGACTGTGTTTCTCTATAAATAATTAAAAGTACTGAGTGACCAATAGTTTTAGCATTATCAACTTAGTGATTAGTTAGTAAAGAGTGTTCATAAAATGTCTTACTCTCATAGTAAGTTTTAAAATACTAGTTTAACAGGGCAGCATGGTAGTAGTAACAAGCGGATGAAACGTAACGATAAAATTGTATGTGTATAAAAATAATAGTGCTTAGTGAATTTACAGTGTGGTTTTGTGTCCGCAGAATATACTTGGGCGGCATTGCCGAGGACCCAGAGAGGTACACCGCTAGTTTTAGGCGGAGATCCGAAGGGCAGAAACTTCCTGTATACCAATGGGAATTCCGTTATCATCAGAGATATTGAGAACCCCGCGATCTCGGATACATACACAGAGCATTCTTGTCAAGTGAATGTCGCGAAATATTCGCCAAGCGGCTTCTACATTTCTTCAGGAGGTAAGGTTACTCATTTTTATATTGTATATAAATTTTTCAATGTGGAACTTGTTGCTGTACCTGAGCTACAGATAACACAAGAATTATTTAATAACTGTGACTCAAGAATTGACTTCCTCAATTTATACATATTTGTTGCAGGGAAATATTTTTAATATAATCAGTTCATTTTCCTCATTACAGGACCAATTTTGTTTATTTACTTACTACTGTGTAGTACCCAATTGCTTGGAGTATTGTATTGTTTATAACTTGCATTTAAATAAGTTTTATATTTACCTTTGTAAATAATCTAATTTCATTATTTTAAACAATCTGCATGGAAGACTAAGGGTTGGCTTCACCACCTTCATATAAACACCTTTATAACTTATATATATACATAACATAGTTCATGCAAATTACAACCTCTTTTAAAATTTATCTGGTACATACTGACTATACAGATATTGTTATACACCAGATAAAATATTTCTGGGTGTGTAGTTTTAGTAAACTGTCCCTGATGATATCCAACTAATATTATAAACTTTCATCCCAAATGGATGGACTGATTTAGTTCAAATTAGCTATGTAGATAGGTGATAACTTGGATTAACACACTGGCTCCTTTTTATCCTCCACATGGGTGGAGGAGCAGTGTGCAGAAGCTAGTTAGTAAAATATTTAAAAAGGGCTGGTAATAAAATCTTGTACTTTATATATATAAACCTAAATACATGGGTCAACTTAAAACCTAATAGCAATCTTTGACCCTCAAATGCAGTATGCAGGCAATAACAGGGGGAAATAAGACTGATGTCATAATCAAAACTTTAATTTAAATACTAGTACAGGGCAGAATTAAAAAAAAATACTGCATGCCTTACTGCTTTTTTCATCTAGCAACAGTGAAACAAATGAAATTATTATAAAAATAACTTTCACTCTAATGCAATTTTTTGTACAGAATTAATGAAATATTATTATTAAACACTTTCTCTTTTAAGAACAATGATGAAGTATTTAAAAGATTTGTGATTTTATGAAGACATAGCTACTTTCACACGGTTTCACTGGTTGCTCAGCTCCTAAATAATATAGCCTTTTATTCAGATCCTTAACTTACATTATGTTACACTTACATTTTTTTTGCTCTGCTCCTACAGATAACAAATTGTTCAATTTGACCCAGTAGTACCAGAGATTAGTGCATTCAAACAAACTCTTAAGCTTTATAGTATAAGTATAGATAAGTATGAACCACTGTACTTAGAGCCATTCAGTTTATTACAGACTTGATCTTGGTATAAAGTGATTACAAAGGAATAGTTTCAGTAATCATTATCAAACTTACATCAAATAATTTTCTATATTTAATCATTATGATGCTATGTAAAAAGATTAAATGATTACTCGCAGCATACCAGGGATGAATCATAAAAATACCTATTATGATTATTTATTTAAGCCATATTTGGCTATGTTTTTGAATGTAAGACTATGAGAAAGCCAGCATAACATTTTTCTATGCAAACATTTTTTCACCCTGGTATTTAGTACAAGCTCAGATTTGTTAATAAAAAAAATCTATAATACCTACCTTGTTTAGAATGATTATTTTGGAGCAACTTTTTTTGCTAGGTCAACATATAAATCTTTCTATGGACATTATTTTAATGATTCGTTTTGGGTTCAGCACTATCCTGAATGTCAGCATTTATGTGGATTATCTTTAAAAGCCTCATATATAAATTGATACTGCATTCCTGGTCAGAGTGATTTAGGCATAGATTTAGGAACTGTGCTCTGTTTAGAGCAAAAGCATTCATTCAAACTAAGTATTGCTCACCTAGAGGACACGCTGGAGCATACGGTGGCGGTGTGCTCTTCTTGGGCTGAGCACCGCCGTGTCCTCATGGAAGTGATCGGCGGCGGCGACCTCTCGCGTCCGGCCTTAATCTAGGCCATGGTGGAAGTGGGACCCAGAGGAACTGGGAAGCTTTGAGAAAGGCGGCCCGCGTGAGGGAGCAATCCTCCTCCTCACGCCCCAGCCAGCGCATCAGGCGACACTACGGGCGTCGGGGATCGAGAGATGATCTCCGGCCACCGTAAGCGCGGGTCTGCGGACGGCGAGTAAGGATAGCTCGCCGCACGACCAGAACCAGACCCGAGCGTACGGCGCGTAGCGTTCCGCGCGCGCCTCTAAGAGCCAATAGACCACCACAGACGGGGCCCTATAGGGATGATGTTCAGCCGGGGTTGCGGGGTCGGCGCCGCGACCTGGGCGCGGATCAGGAGAAGAAACGGGGGGTTTAATAGTCAGTAAGAGTCTGGCACTCCCTCCCGCCCTATTCTGGGCGGGAGAAGTAATTTGATGATTTTCCCATCACAAAAAAATGACATACATAGAAATGAAAAATGTAAGTCTCTGTTAACCTTAAATGCAATTTGTATTGAAACATAATTATATTTATCATATGTTATCACAAGTTCATGAAAATGTGAACCATTATAACATCTGAAATGCATTAACTTTACTGTGATATCAAATAGCAATGAAATAGAATATCTACAATGTTTAACATAACTGATTGTGACTCAGTGTCTTTGGTTTATCTTGTATAAGTTGTATTATTATGATTCATTACACACATTTCATTAAGCCGCTCCTAAAGTGAAAATATTTACTGTTAAATATGTTCTATCAATTGAAATCAAACATCTCTTGCTCTGTGTGAGAGATGTGAGAGATACTGCAGACTCTTACTGACTAAACTCCACCCTGTTCCTTCTACTCCACACTGAGGCTGCGGTACATTGCTTGTTATGTTTGACATGCAGCCGTAGCTAAACTTCGTCTGAGCATTAAATATGCTGTACTGATTATTTATTTATCAGTAATGTAGGATTTGGTGTCCCGTGATACCAAGATATGATGTGTGATATAATGGGGGATGGAATTGGCCTCTGGTAACCTCACTCACATGGAGAAACACAATGCTGTGGTTGTTTTGCGTCTGATTGCTGTAAGGCCGTAGTATCACTGCGTTTGAGCCGATCATTCTTTCCACGGCTTGGCTCTCGAAGAATTATTTTTTTATCTATCTTCTATAATATAAAAATGAATCGCAAAATGTGTTGGTAAGCGCATAACTCAATAACGCTTGGACCAGTTTTGCTAATTCTCTTTTTGTTATGTTCGTTATTATAAGGAGAAGGTTCTTACGGGAGAAAATTTTAGAAAAGTAAAAGGGTATAGCGGTAATTAACAACCCTTTCAACGCTGTGGCCGTTCGCTTGGAAAACAAATGAGTGACACCAGGGTAGTCGGGTAGCCGTGCGAAGCAGGGCCGGTCTGCTAGTAAAAAATATAATTCAGTGTTTATAGAAGCATATGTACGTAACCGCGCCAGATTTAATGTGACTACTACATTGTACTTCGAAATTGTCCTCAAAGCGTATTATCATGCTCTATAACAATTTTACTAGCAAACGCTACACAATAGAACTATCTGTCATTGCTAGAAGCGTTTGCCAAAACATGTAACAATTGATCGACAAACGAACTAAAAAGTAAGGTCAAAGATCTCTTAGTTTTTTTTCTGGAGTACCTACACATATTTTTTTAATGTAGCCAAAGTATTTTGGACAGCGTTTAATTTCATACTCATGTTTGTTTTTGTTTTCTTATTTTATGGGTTTGTAATTTAAAAGTTTTAATCTGTAATTTAGTTTATAAGATATCTCTCCTCCTAATTCCCAACTATATTACCTACTCATAAATTATGTTTAAGAAAATTTATTTTACAAAGCTACTAAACAAATTAACTGTAAGTAACTGAAGGTATTAATTAACTATTATTAATTGTATGTGATTTAATTTCTTCCCCTCTTAGTTCAGAAAAGGTCTTGGTTAAAGTCATAGTTGACCAATAAATATGAGGCATTAGGGAACGTCAAAAGAATATAAATATTAAAAGCAAAAAGAGTCATTTGGTCGGCCAGTCTAGTGAAGTGGTTTGTTCGTTCAAAAGTGTAGCATCCTGTGGAGAAGAACAAGCAAGAAACTTCATGGTTGCTCTTTTTGAAATCGGTTTCACAACTTTATAATTGGTTACATTATAAAATTGGTTCAATTTTGTGACAACAAACCAATACAAAGTAGCACCATATTTCGCTAGGTAGATAAAGAAAATACCCTTAAGGACATTTTTTTTCTTGTAATTGCAACCGATTCCCCCCAAGGACAATAATTCACTATAGTTTAGATCGGAATAGATCGAAGCGATTAACTTTACAGGTAGGTAGGTACATCGGCTTGCACCCCCAATACCATACATGGCAATCGAGTGACCGGATGCCCGATGCTCGCCCCCTTTAAAAAAAAAACTTCAGACGATTTACAAATGCTTTAAAAAAGTTTCTAGCATAAGTTGTAATTACTGCGTTTTATTTTCTCGGCAAAATGTACGGAGTAGATACGTAAGGTGTAGTCGGATAAGAATATAAATGTAATGCGTTTTTAATTGATTCAGGTTTGCCATTTTACCGATGCAAGTTTAGAACAGAATCTTTGAGGCATAAAGTGGAATGAGCTGGTTTATATTGCACTTGCTGATCTCACGCGGTTTCACCCGCTGCTCAGTTTCATTTGATCGTAGCGTGATGTTTTATTTTGGCAATGCGACCAGCGAGCGGTTCCAAAGATTACCCCCCTACATACAAACTTACAATTTTACCTCTTTATAATAATTTTCTTTTTCTTTCTTCTTTTATATAACACATTCTTTCATTGTCAGTGTGGTTTTTCATCGCGTTCAACGTAATAAGGAGAAGAAGAATAGGCATTTCAATGGGTACTAACTAGGAGCAGGTTTCGACAAAACCTGTAGGCCGTATTGGCATAGTCACTAGGATTATCATAACATTTGTAACATTGTCCATTTATTATGATTTCGTGTAATAGCTAGTATTGGCGACCGGCCAGCCGGCTCGCGGATCACTCCAGAATTAAACTCGACAAACTTGCTACCGCGCTCTATTCGCTAAGATTTGTATTTCTGTACAATTATGTGGATAGTGAACACCCTATAACATATTTTAAGCTAATTCTATCCTCAGGAATATCCCATTTCGTAACAGTGCAATTTTAGACGCATTCTGCTTAACCTACATCTGTGTCTAGAAAATTTTTCGTTCGGTTTCGTTTCGTTACAATGCGATAAGTAAAAAAAGGCTATACGTTGCCATGTCGAATCACTCGCATGCTTCGAATGTTCGAATTTTCGAAGAGTGTTATTCAATGTTTTTAAGTCAACCAACTTTTCGTATACACATCAACATCCCTTCACAGCACACAACTGAGTTATGAGAATTTTAAATCAGAGGAGTTCACCGTTATATCCAGCACTAGCTATTCTCGCGCGGTTTCACCCGCTGCTTGGCTCCATTTAATCGTAGCGTGATGTTTTATAGCCTATAGCACACAGGAATATTGTAGTTATCTATCAGTGAAAGAATTTTGGAAATCCGACCAGCGGTTCCAAAGATTACCCCCTACATACAAACTACAAACATACAAACTTACAAATTTTACCTCTTTATAATATTATAGTATAGATTGGCAGGTCCGTTGGTGATCTTAAAATGAGGCCTCCGGTAACCTCACTCACACGCGAAACACAACGTAAGCGCTTCACGCCGATATTCTCGATAGATAGATAGACTTATGGTTGCGGGCTTCGGTGTTTACATGGTTATGCAATTATCTTCTAAGTCAGGATCAACAGTAGGTAGATCCGGTGGAGGAAAACGGCCAGGAGCTGTAAAGTTTTAGGGGGGAGGGGCAGGCGTGTCCCATAACAATTGAAATCTCTTACTAGGCTCTTTCTGTACCCATAGAAAGAATAAGGGAAATTAGGTACCAGTTTATTCTACTCTGCCCTAACCCCACTTACATTTAGCTAACACGTAGTAAAATACTTTGGGAACTTCCTCCAGTAGCATTTACGTAAACTAGGCCAGTAATTCGCCATGGAACTCCTGAGTCATTTAATGGATTTATTTTCGTCCACAGATAACAAAAGGTCGCCCCTTTCATTTGTAGATTAAATAAAATGACTTAATGATTATGTTGTGTTCAGTGATAAAAAAATCTGAATGGCTTAATAGCTTAGGTGATGCACGCTATTTTGCGTGTAACTCGATCGTAAAGTCATATATGTTTTTGCCTACATGTTTGTGTTAAACTAAGGTAACATTTAAATACAGATATGGTATTTATCCTTATAGTGTGGGTGACCTTTACACCACATGCCAGTTGTAGGTTGTTTGTGATGTTTGTTGAGAAATTGATCGTTGTTTTAAAACTTCGTTCCGCTAAGGTGCCATTTCTTTTTCAACTTATATTTCATACTATAGGGGTTCCGGTAAAGAATGGATAACATTGCAATAAGTAATATGATTTGTGACGTCATCAGTTCTTTATTATTATTCTGTGTGCGTCGCCAAAGGTTTATTTATTTCGAGAGTTCGAAATCAAAACATGTATAATTCGCAATGACAATATGGGTAACACTGGGTAACACAGTGTGGGTGGCAGGACAGTACCCTATTTGTTTAATTTAAAATTGGTTCTGAAGAACGAACAGATATTAAATTTTCAATCGATATTTATTTACAAACATAATCAGTAAGATAAAGGGATTGTCGATAATATCAATTTCTATGTAACAACTATTATCTTTGGTTTTTAATCAGTTATCGAAGTATTATAAAATAATTTCCGATAATGTATGAGTTCCATACTAGCGCCATCTATTAATGAAAAACGGTAGCTCCGCCATCAAGGATATTTGTATTGTTGATAATGCCATACCTGATACATATATACACACGTATAGCATCTACACAAACGAATATAGTCGATGTAGGCTAAGCATACCAAAAAATACAATTCTTAACAACTAGCTTTCGCACGTGGCTTCTCCCGCGTCGTATGCTGATAAAAGGCTTACTTATGTGCTCTTTATAATTTTAGTATAGACTAGCGGTCGCCCGCGGCACCGCACGCCTGGATATCGATTTACACTCTTCCAAGATTTTTTTTTGAATTAAATAATTTGATATTTACTCTAGGGTTTGTAACCCTGGACTTCCACGAATAATTCAAGACTAAAATTAGCTAAATTGGTAAAGGCATTGTTGAGTTATAACATTATAACAAAACACACAATGATATATAGATTACTGTATTAAGTAGAATGAATGATTTTTTGTTTTAGACGCGTCCGGTAAGATTCGCATTTGGGATACGGTGAACAAGGAGCATATACTTAAGAATGAATTCCAACCAATTGGAGGGCCGATCAAAGACATTGCGTGGAGCGCTGACAACCAGCGTATGGTCGCTGTCGGAGAAGGACGGGAAAGGTAAAATATTCACAATTAGCTTTTAACCAAATACTTTTTATAGGATAGGTCGGCAAACGAGCAGACGGATAATGTGATGGGAAGCAATCGGCGCCGCCATGGAAACCCGCAAAACAAAGGAGTTACGAGTGCACTGCCAGACTTTTCGGATAAGGGTTTCGGATATTTAAGGATTCGGAAGGGGGACGGATTGGGCCTCCGGTAATCTCACCCATACGGCGAAACACAACGCTTCCGTTGTTTCTCTCCGTCGGTTTTCTGTATGGCCGTGGTATCATTCCGGTATAGCCGACTTACTCGTGCTGAAGCTTGGCACTCCTACACCAAATAAATGTACTCTGATGTTAACATAATATTACTGTTGTAACAAAAAGTCAATATTTTTATACCTTGTTCAGCATTAGCGCAAATTACTTAGTTCCTAATACTGTTACGTGCCTGACGTCACGTTCCTGACTATGCGGGCTTGGGTTACGGGATTGGATGAAATGAAACACTAATACCGGTTTTCAGACTTTCTATTGCACTTAAGTTACAGCGTCCACGGAGTTAAGTTATCGGCGTTCCTCTCCAGCAGAGTCCGGCCGACTGACACAACTTTGCCGTTCACGCTAACTTCACTTAACTGACTGCACTTCACTATTTCACTGCACTTCACTATTTCACTCACTTTTCTTCTTTTTCACTTCTTCCTTTTCTTCCGAATCGCTTTAGACTTAGAACTCAACTGCCAGCGGTGAGCCGCAGTTCCGCTTATATACCCCCGGTCAGGTTCTAGAACATTCAATTTCGTTATTCTTTTTTGATCGTCATGCCTCCAGAACCTTCCAATAATTTCGTTATTCATTTTTATTTATTCTCCTTCTCGCTCCTTAATTTTTCATTACTTTCACTCAAATATTCCAGAAAGTTCGACAAAACTTCCATCAACTAAAAAACTTCATGTTTACGGCGGGACTCGAACTCGGGGTCTCTGTGGTGTAATCCACACGCCTTACCGATTACACCAACTCGTGTTGACAATTCACGACGAAATTTACAATCTCTAGGCAACGTTTGACAACCATCCATTGACGTCATGATGTCAAAGAGTTTTCTGTCACACTGCCCCCCTCTTAGATTCGCTCGTCCCGAGCATCGTTGCTGCCGTAATACCTCGCCAACCTGTCTATATGGACAACTTTCAAAGGGCTCCTTGAAGACTTCCGAATTCTGTAAGTAATGTCATTGATCTTCGTGACTATCTCGTAAGGACCTTCCCAACTCGGTTGCAGCTTTGGAGATTTTCCCTTCCTTCTGACTGGATTATGAAGCCAGACCAATGACCCCTCTTCAAACCCAACAGAATTGGCTCGTCGATCATAGCGCGTCTTTGCGCGATCACTAGCTTGAAGACCGGCCTCCCTGATCTGCTCATAAATGTCCAACATTTTTGCCCTTAACTCGCTTATGTAATCGCTAAACTCGGTGCGAGAGTCACCAGGTGGACAGCCCGATACAAGATCTGCCGGTAATCTCAATTCCCTTCCAAAATTTGCAAATGCAGGCGTCTTTGCGGTACTTTCATGTACAGCAGTCCGATAGGCAAGCAAGAAGAGAGGTATGTAAGTGTCCCAATCTCTCTGATGGCTGTCAACCACCTTTGCTAAGTGTCGCTCCAATGTTTGGTTGAAGCGTTCGACCATTCCATCTGACTGTGGATGATAAGGGGTCGTTCGAGTCTTATGGATTCCCAAAAGTTTACAAGTTTCCTGGAAAACTTGGGATTCAAAGTTCCGTCCTTGATCACTGTGCATCTCCAAGGGCACTCCGAATCGGGTGAATACCTCGTTTACCAACTTCGTGGCTACAGTTACTGCCTCTTGATTCGGTATGGCAAAGACCTCCGGCCATTTTGTAAAATAATCCATAACCACTAAAACGTAGCGATTGCCCGAATCAGTGATTGGAAATGGTCCAGCGATGTCTAAGGCTATTCTCTCCCAAGGCATACCAACATTGTAGATTTTCATCGCCCCTCTGCTTCTTGTTTGTGGACCCTTGACAGCTGCACAACTAGTGCATTTCCGGCACCAATCTTCGACGTCATATTTGCAATGCAACCAATAAAACCTCTCCTTGATCTTCACCAAAGTCCTCCTAATTCCCAAATGTCCTCCAGAAGATCCATCATGGAACGCTTTTAATACATCCCTTATTTTTGAACGAGGCACCACCAATTGCAAATGCTCGTCCTTGCCGTTTGTTGATTCCCATTTCCTGCACAGAAGTCCGTTATGCAGCGTAAGGCTTTTCCACTGTGCCCATAAACCTTTCGTTACCGCGCTATATTGGGCGACGTCACTCCAACTTGGCTTGTTACCACTTCGTACCCACTCCAGTATTGGTTTAATATCTGCATCTCTTTCCTGTTCTAATTTCATCGCATCATCTCCCCATGCCTCGTCAACAGTATCAGTCCTTATCACCTTAAGAAAAGCAGTTTCCTTCTTGGCACAATGCTTGCAATCTTCCACGCATGGGCGTCTCGATAATGCATCTGCGTTGCCATGAATTCTTCCTCCGCGATGTTCGATATCAAAGTCAAATTCCTGAAGTTGTTCCAACCATCTGGCTACTTGGCCTTCGGGATCCTTAAACTGAAGCAGCCATTTCAAAGCAGCGTGATCAGTTCTGATCAAAAATTTCCGTCCCAGTAAATACTTCTTGAAACGGTGCAGAGTTTTGACTACGGCCAGCAATTCCCTCCTGGTCACGCAATAATTCCTCTCCGGCTTGGATAGTGACTTGCTGAAGTAAGCAATAACCTTCTCCTGCTCACCATCGCGTTGTGAAAGGACACCTCCTATTCCAATATTGCTGGCATCCGTATCAACTACGAATATTCCTTTCGCGCTGGGGTATCCGAGAATTGGTGTGTTACAAAGCCGTTCTTTTAGTTCTCGAAAGGCTTGCTCACAATCCTCGTCCCAGATAAAGGCACGTTTCTCCTCTGTCAATCGATGCAATGGCTTGGCAATGTCCGAGAATCCTTTCACAAACCGCCGATAATACGAGCACAATCCAAGAAATGCCCGAACTTGCGTTTTGTCTTTAGGTGTTGGCCATTCCTTAACAGCGACAGTCTTGGCTGGATCAGTCTCAATTCCTCTCTCAGAAATAACATGTCCTAGATAATTCACTTCGCGCTTGAAGAAAGAGCATTTTTTTGGACTCAACTTTAAATTTGCTCCACGCAGCTTGTCGAGTACCTTTTCCAATTTCCTTAGATGATCGTCAAAATCCCGTCCAACAATGATGATGTCATCGAGGTAAACTAGGCAGGTTTCGCCCAGCAGTCCCACCAGCACCTGTTCCATCAAACGCTCAAAGGTTGCCGGTGCATTGCATAATCCAAATGGCATCACCTTAAATTGCCAGAGTCCCTTCCCAGTTGGGAATGCGGTCTTTTCCTTGTCCTTGGGATCCAAATCCACCTGCCAATAGCCGCTTTTCAGATCGAGCGTTGAAAACCATTTCATGCCACTCAGTGTGTCAAGTGTGTCATCGATTCTTGGTAACGGGTAGCTATCCTTCTTGGTTACATCATTCAATCGTCGATAGTCTATGCAAAACCTCGTTGAACCATCTTTCTTCTTGACAAGCACGACAGGTGAACACCAAGGGCTAGAAGAGGGCTCTATCACGTCATTTTTCCTCATATCGTCAATCATTTCTTCAACCTCTTTCTCACGAGCGAATGGTATACGTCTGGGCCTTTGACGAATTGGCATTGTATCACCTGTGTTTATTTTATGCTTCACCAAACCAGTTCGGCCAATATCACCATCGCTTCTTGAAAACACATCAGAGAATCGAAGAAGTAAATTTCTAGCTTTCATAGTCTCCACTTTTGTCAGACTTTTGTTTTCGTCTAAGATTTTCGTTACAAAGTCTATTCCCGTACTGTCCTTCTTCACAAGATTTTCCGAGCATTTTCTTATCCAGGCCACTTCTTCCAATACGCCCACAGGCTCTCCTTCTTCAATCGTAATTTCTGAATCACTGAAGTTGAATACCGGAATGCGGTTAACATCAGATGACCCCACGACAGTTCTTGCCGGTAGCCATGAGTTTACGTGTTCCGATTTATCAATCACAGCGCACCTTCGAGGTAAACTTCCTTCCCTCCTCCTAGGTAATGCAATTGGTACGAGAGTCTGTGATTTTGGTGCAAGAACAGTTCTTCTTAAACAGCAAACTTTTCCCAGGGTTCCACCCTTCATCGGAATTTCCTCAGTTCCACATAGTAATACTCCAGATTTTAGGTCGATGTTACACTGGTGCCCTTGCAGGAAGTCAAGTCCCAGGATGCAGTCATCCAGAATTTTGGCCACAATAACCTCATGTCGATAAACACGTTCCCCAATTTTGATTGTTACATGCAGTTTTCCACTTATCGGTATGCACTGGCCGGTAGCTGATTTCATTTGTAGGCCAACAATTGGTTTAAGGTGTTTCCTGATGTTGTGCTCGAGCAGCCGAACATTTATCACCGTCCTTGAAGCTCCAGTATCTAATGTTAGCTGACTGTTTTTCCCATTTACTTGACCGTCTATCACCAGAGTATTTCCATCGTTGGTTTGCTTGATGTAGATTGTTGGGGTTGTTCCACTACCAGCCGGCGCCCACCCCGCAGCCCTGGCTGGATTTAAGTTTCCCTGCTGGTCAGAAGTTGAGACCGCCGCGTCCTTGCGGTTCATCTTCTTCGGGCAGTCGCTCCGTATGTGCCCACGCTCTCCACATCCATAGCACATGAAGTTCCGACGGCGTGGAGGTACCTGCTCCGTTGTCGTCATTTCCCGCAGACGTAAGGTACGGGAGTTGCCACGCACGGCTTCCACTTCCAATGCATGGGCCAGAGCTTCTTTCATGATCTTGTGATGGCCCAGATGAACAGCAGCTCGTACTTCTGGGTCCCGAATACCGTCAATGAACGCTTGGAGAAGCGTGCCTTCAATCATTGACGGAGTCGACCGGAAAGCTCGACGTACAAGTTTCTCGATTTCCACGGACCATTGCTGTAGGCTCTCATTAGCACGCTGAGTACGCTCTTTTAATTGCGCTCTGTACACGTGCTCGAGGTGGCTGTCTCCAAAACGTGCTTCAAGTGCGTCGAGGAGGGCACTAAAGCTGAGATCCCCACTTGCGCCGATAGCTTCCAGCACTGAGAGCGCTTGATCACGGAGGGCCAGGGTAAGGGCTGACTGTGCTTCCTTCTGAGTCCAACCATAAGCCTCCATAAGTGTCTCAAACTGTAGCTTGAACGCAGTCCAGGATGTTGTTCCGTCGTAATGGGGAATCTTGAGCCCTTTCGTTGCGCTTAAGGCCGCATTTGGGGCGTCAAAAACGGCTGCAAGACGGCTTCGGCTCTTCAAAGGGCTTGGGTTTGTCACTTCCTGCTTGATTTTGGAGATCTCTTCTTCCAGTCTCTCCTCTATCGCCATGACGCGAAGTTTCAACTTGCCTAACCCTTCCTCCACTTCTTGTACCCGTTCGACAGCCTTTTGCAGTCCCTTCGTGAAATCTTTATGCATGTCCTCCAAGCGACGCGCTTGCTCCTCTTGGCGACGAGCTTGATCTTCTTTCAGCTCCCGCAGCTGTTCTGACTGACAGCGTGCTTGCTCTTCTTGGCGGCGCGCTTGCTCTTCTTGGCGGCGCGCTTGCTCTTCTTGGCGGCGCGCTTGCTCTTCTTGGCGGCGCGCTTGATCTTCTTTCAGCTCCCGCAGCTGTTCTGCCTGACAGCGTGCTTGCTCTTCTTGGCGGCGCGCTTGATCTTCTTTCAGCTCACGCAGCTGTTCTGCCATCATTTGCCGCAGCTGTAGCAGAAGATCCATCTGCACAGGCTTGGCTTCTGCATCGCTGGTCTGAGCTGCAGCACCCTCTTCCCTCACACGCTGCGCTTCTGACATAGCACGGGTACTCACTCCTCTTACGTCCTGCGGCACTAGCGGCATTTTTCTCCAATCCCACTTCTGACACCAAATGTTACGTGCCTGACGTCACGTTCCTGACTATGCGGGCTTGGGTTACGGGATTGGATGAAATGAAACACTAATACCGGTTTTCAGACTTTCTATTGCACTTAAGTTACAGCGTCCACGGAGTTAAGTTATCGGCGTTCCTCTCCAGCAGAGTCCGGCCGACTGACACAACTTTGCCGTTCACGCTAACTTCACTTAACTGACTGCACTTCACTATTTCACTGCACTTCACTATTTCACTCACTTTTCTTCTTTTTCACTTCTTCCTTTTCTTCCGAATCGCTTTAGACTTAGAACTCAACTGCCAGCGGTGAGCCGCAGTTCCGCTTATATACCCCCGGTCAGGTTCTAGAACATTCAATTTCGTTATTCTTTTTTGATCGTCATGCCTCCAGAACCTTCCAATAATTTCGTTATTCATTTTTATTTATTCTCCTTCTCGCTCCTTAATTTTTCATTACTTTCACTCAAATATTCCAGAAAGTTCGACAAAACTTCCATCAACTAAAAAACTTCATGTTTACGGCGGGACTCGAACTCGGGGTCTCTGTGGTGTAATCCACACGCCTTACCGATTACACCAACTCGTGTTGACAATTCACGACGAAATTTACAATCTCTAGGCAACGTTTGACAACCATCCATTGACGTCATGATGTCAAAGAGTTTTCTGTCACAATACAAAAAAAAAAAGCTTTTCTTCGATAAAACAATAAAATTGTTCGAAGAAAATTAAAACACAAAAAATAAATGTTAAACCACACCCAACTGAATACTACATTCTAAGAACACCTACTTACATTTTACACTAACCCACGTAATATATTATATATGTAGTATATACGGTCACATCGCCGTACATTCTTCTTGCTTACTCGTCAACCTACTTTCGGCCAACGAGGCCCCCGTACTGTCGCATAATAAAATGAGATGACGGACATATTACAACCAAGAGAAATAATCGCCTTCCGCTGTTGTAATTTACTTTTACATAAATATACTCAACGTGTGTATTTAAGTGGAAAAGTGTTTCTCTACATAAACTAACTCAACTTACAAAATCTTCACGACAAATCAGTGTACGGAGTTAACTACTCAATACCCGTACAATAATTATACTTCTTATCTTTACATACAGGGTGTAAAAAGACACTTAACGAAGCCGTTAACTACGCATACTGAAGTTCTAACTAAGTAGATTTACGCTAAAATTATCACTGGGAAACGACTTTTATTTTTAGGTATCAAAAAAAATAATAATTTTATTGCGCGCAATGTAAAGCAAACGGGCTTCGTGTCATTGTGTGCGTAGGTTCACAGCTTAGCATTAAAACGCTGTGATAAGTACGTAGGTCGACGTTTTACTTCGCAACAACAAAACAATTCTGTAAAATAAAAATCCTACTGAGATGCACGATGTTTTTGTGCGGGTCTGCATTTATTTATTACGTACATTACTGTTCGTAACTTCAAATGCGTAATTTATTTAGAAAAATCGAAAATTCAGGTAATGTTTGTTTGGAAAAAAGTTTTGTATATTTAGAATTCGACAGCTCCAAAAAAAAAAAATTAAAAATGCATCTTTGACCTTCAATATCTCGAGAACCCGTGGAGTCCCAGCTATGGTGTTAAACAAAAAAATTATCCAAATAATGGGTAGAATCCGTGGCTTTCGGCTTCGATAAGTGTCTTTTTACACCCTGTATATAATTCTGCTGTACGTGTGTATGTCATTGAATCAATCAACTACTCCTAAACGGCTTGAATTTTATAATAATATAAAAAATAAGAAATTTTAGAAAAGTAAAAGCTGGGTAATTGGCACCATTTCCTTGTAAGCGAGATGGTTGAAGACCCGTGCGAAGCAGTGAAGAGTCGCTAGTATTACTTAAAAATCAGTAAATATGTCAGAAAAATAAATATTCAGCTAATGTGATGTATGATTAGTTAGTGATGATAGCTTGTAAATTGCAACGCCTGGAAAATGCCGGTAAACTGTGCTTGTTGTTATTACATTAAGGTCCTGTTATATTACCTTAACATGCAAATAAAGACTGAGTTTTGAGTTTGACCGACGCTAGCATCGAGATATATTTTTTTATTTTATTTGTATAAAAGCAGTCATCGTAACTTCCGTTTTTTTGTGACCAGCCATTTACTGTTATACTTGGGTGGCAGACCGGAAAATCAAGTGTCTACTGATGGTCAATGGATAATATTATGATTCATGAATTAGCTTCCGAATTATATTGGTATTATATGAAAATACTAATTGATGCTATTATTTAATTTTGCTATGCTGAGTTGCTGTAAGTTCTAAATAAACCTATATGGTACATAGTTCAAACAAGTGCCGATCTATTTTTTTTCCTGTGACTTCTAATAATAATATAACTGTTTGCCATATATCATTCAGAATCGTTCAATAGTTTTTTTACCTGATAGCATATAATAGGCGCGTGCCATGAACACAATTCGAGAAATGGCAATAGCATTTAAAACATTTTGAGGATTAGGAGTTCCAAGGATTTAGAGACCATTATTTAAAGTCCTAACTCACATGGCGAAACACAACATAGTGTTAGCGTTACGCCGGTGAGTTCCTGTGAGGCCGTGGTACCTAGGTTTTGTAAAAATAGTCTTAGCTTTAAATGTAGGAGAGCCAAGCTTCGGCATGAATGGGTCGGCTCGACCGGAGTGATACCAAGGCCTCACAGAAAACCAACGTGAAACTACCACAGCGTTGTGTTTCGCCGTGTGAGTGAGGTTACCGGAGGCCCAATCCCTTGACCTCCTCCCATGGTTGCCCAATCCTTAAATATCCGAAACCTTTATCCCTAAAAGGCCGGCAACGCACTCGTAATTCCCTTGGTGTTGCGAGTGTCCATGGGCGGCGTTAATTGCTTACCATCAGGTAATCCGTGTGCTCGATTGAAGACTTATACCATAAAAAAACTTTAGTATTGCAAGGGTTCGTCTGTCAAATCACGCTTTCAATCTGGTGGTTTTCAACTAGTCCAATTTAATACTTCTTTTTTTCAAAACGTCAAGTATACCTTTCAAGAATGTCTTTCTATAAGGGGATCGGAGGTTTAACGTTACCTATAAAACTGTGGTCTACTCTTATGACCAATTTTAATCTCTTCTTTGCGTTTAGTTGGAAAATAATTCTTTACAAATAGTGATAAAATCAGATCCAAAGATGTTGTTTACGAGTTATATTTGTCATTTTTTTAAACTTTGCCTCTCATTAGGGTTAACTCCTGTGTCCTGACTCGTGGGTACAAAACGCACCCAGACCCGGAACAACAATTTATGGATCTCTCCAATAGCCTCAGCCACTGCGTCAACTGTGTAGTTTAATATATTTTTGGGCATTAAATTATTTCATAACATTCCATTTTTTTTCTTTCAGATTCGGACATGTATTTATGTCGGACACGGGTACTTCAGTCGGTGAGATTAGCGGTCAGTCCAAGCCAATTAACTCAGTGGACTTCAAACCTTCGAGACCGTTCCGCATCGTCACAGCTTCAGAAGATAACACTCTCGCCGTCTTCGAAGGGCCCCCGTTCAAGTTCAAGTGCACTAAGCAGGTTGGTTCTTAGCTCTGGGGCGGCAAATGAGTCACCGCTCCTTTTTGTACCAATTGTATAGTAATTATCACGACCTTTATTAGAGACTTGTTAGCACTGTTCCCCGATAAAATGTTATTAAACTGAATGCAGTTTTAAACGCCTAGTGTGGAGATTTTTAGAAGCGACTTTTTGCGCAGAGAATATCCTTATGGGTGGGTTTATATATTTAGCAGTGACAGTGTGACTTCATGTGTGATAAGCTCTTTTTTGTCAGGGGAAAATCATCAAATGACTTCTCCCGCCCAGGGTAAGGCGAGAGGAAGTGTCAGACTCTTATTGATTTTAAAACCCCCATTCCTTCTCCTGCTTTAGGCCGAGGTCACGGTGCCTCATTTCGCTTACTTCGATACTCCGGCTGAACATCAGCCCTATAGGGTCTGTGGTGGTCTATTGGCTCTATTATTGTGGCTGGAGATCTTCGATCCCCGACGCCCGGAGTGTTGCCTACTGTGTTAACGACAGGGTACACTCACTGTAGGCTCAACAACTAAAACCAGTGTTGGGTACTTACTGTATCCAAATTCTGTTGAGATGCATGAGCGTCCCAAAAGAGTTGCCATCTCAATATAAGTTATTGTATTATCACCTTCAGCTGGGGTTACGGTCTGTAGCCCTACCCAGGGCAAGATAAGGCATTTGCAGATTTTTCTTACGAAAAAAAACCTTATCTTATCAGATAATACGATCTACACCACATAGAAAAAACCTCTACCTTTTAATTTACACCTACACGTTATTTAATTAATTGCAGGAACACACACGATTCGCCCAGGCAGTCCGTTACAGTCCCGATGGCAGTCTCTTCGCATCAGCCGGTTTTGACGGAAAAATCTTCCTCTTCGATGGCGCCACTTCCGAACTTAAGGGGGAGGTGAGTTCATAGATCTTCTTATACTTATAGATTGTTTGTTTTGCCTCGGTTGCTTCTGAACTATTTACTCGAATTCAAAAAGCTTTTATCATCTGATAAAAAAAATGTTTATAGGTTTCTTAGGGTATTTTCATTTTGTCTAAATCTACTAACTAATAAAAATTGTTTGGATAAGTGAGGAGTTCTCGTAACTCCTCAGTTATCCAAACAATGCGTTGCCGATCTTTTGGGGATTAGTGATTTGGAGATTTAGGAATTGGGGGTGGGGAAGGATTAAGCCTCCGATAACCTCACTCACACGGCGAAACAACACTGTGGTCGTTGCACTCTGGTTTTCTGTGAGGCCGTAGTATCACTTCGATTGAGCCAGAAGCATGGCTCTCCCTAACTTACCTGAAATTTTTTAAACAATTGAATTTGAATAGTTTAAAAGTACCATTTTATCGTTTTCAGATTGGTTCGCCCGCCCACAAGGGTGGAGTGTACGGTATTGCCTGGTCCCCAGACGGCAAGCAACTACTTTCCTGCTCCGGTGACAAGACCTGCGCTATATGGGATGTAGAGACCATGCAACGTACTGTTCTCTTCAACATGGGCAACGCTGTTGAAAACCAACAGGTAAGGTTTCTGACTTGTCTAATGTAACATTTATATAACATAACACATAAATTGATTGAAATGTATGTGTCACCGGAAAATAACAAGATCCGTAAGTTTATCATTTTACTAGGAAGTTTATAAACTTTCGTAAGATTCTAAACGGAAGATAAATTTTAATATTTTACGTCCACATTTTCGTAAATTTATCAATTTCCGACGTCATACGGTAAATTTATAAACTAACGAATTCGTAAGATTGTATATGGTTCGACCAATCACAGAAACTTTGGTAAAATGAAAACAGCTCGACTAGTTTCAAGTCATACCGGGTCTCATAATTTAATTCGTGCGTGCGATTTGTACCGCTCGCGTACCTTTCGCGAGCGGAACAAACTCCGCCTTCTTCCTTATAGAACTCTGTTCTTATTATTATCTATATACATTCTATTGTTTATAGGTCTTTACCTATGAAATTGCCGTTTTGCATGAAAAAATTTAAACGAATTTTTTGATTTGAAATGCGATGAAAATGTAACACTAATCAATAAACAAATGACTACTTATGGAAAAAGAATCCCATGTTTTTAAAACAAAATTAATTAGCCTTAGCCTAACAAAAACTATTTTGATTTGAAATGGCCAGTACTGCAGAACGGCAATTTCTTAGGTAAAGACCTATTATTTAACCTTTCAATCATGGTTATTCGAGACATAATAAAATAACAATAGGTGCGCGAACATTCCGCTGGGATTCCCTTGGGATTTCATTAATTAAGCATGTCAGATATTTAAAGTTTAAAATATAACACTGTATTTTTATCCTTGATTAATCCTTCGCCCTTTAAGAAAATGCTTTTTTTCGACAGTAGACTGCGGATCAGACTAAGAATTGTGGTGTTGATGAATATCAATTTATTTGCGTTCCCCAGGTATCCTGCCTCTGGCAAGGCAAGCATCTCCTCTCCGTGTCTCTATCCGGAGTAATCAACTACCTAGATATTGAGAATCCGGACAAACCGCTGCAGATTCTGATGGGACACAACAAGCCTATCACCTGTCTTGCTCTGCATCCAGACAGACATACTGTCTACACTGCTAGCCATGACGGCTGTGTCACCGCTTGGAATGTGGCTACCGGTAAGTGTGATAAAATATCTTACTAGAGTAGAATATTAATTGGTTTTTGATTGGTTGCTGGATATATTTGCTCGTTCCACATGAATATGTGTATGGGTAACTAGCTCTGTGCCGCGGTTTATTCTGCGTAGTATAGAGTATAGTTTATGTACACCGGGGATAGTGTAAGAAGGGTTTTTTTTGTGAGGAGAAAATCTTCAAATGACTTCTCCCGCCCAGGGCCAGGTGGGAGGGAGTGTCAGACTATTACTGACTAAACCCCCCCCCCCCCCTGTTCCTTCTCCTGCTCTGGGCCGAGGTCGCGGTGCCTCATTACGCTTACCCCGCAACCCCGGCTGAAGGCTGAAGTGTAAAAAAAGCGAACCTTCCCAATAGCGAAGCAGTTTAGCAAATCGGTCAATTGTTTTCGGTTTTTCAAATCAAACACCTCCAAGCTTATTGATTTTGGATTTACTACAAATTAAACTTAACTACGGACACCTTACAGTTTTAGAACTTCGTTCTCGAATGATTGTAATATTAATTTTACCGGAATAATTAGTTATCTGTGATATTTGACAGCTGACAGAGTCAACATGACAGCTAGTGTCGTCACTAACACAATTAACTAAATGTAGGTAAACAATTTTGGCATGTCTTTTCATCTAAAAGTTGCATATTTACCTATAAAGATGTTAGCTGATAAAGTAAATTTGGATAATAAATTTAGTTTTTAATTATATTTAATTATACGACCTCTTTAAAAACCTTTAGTTAACTACCTAACTCGATGGACCATAGAGAAGTTCATTTAGTCGATTTTCGTCGTGTTACACAATGACATGTTTTCACTTTAAAATTTAATAATATTACTACTTTAATAATTTAATAATGTACTTTAATAGCTTAACTTGGATGTAAATTCAAACACAGTTTATGAATTGAAGTCCATTTATCGAATCAATTGACTGCACTGGTGGCGCAGTGGCTAGGCAACTGGCTGCCGCGGAACGTATCGCGGTTTCGATTTCCGCACGGAACAACTCTTTGTGTGCAATCCACGAATTGTTGTTCCGGGTGTGGGTGTGATGTGGAAGTAAAATTGTATGTTTGTAAACGCACCTACGATACAGGACAAAATCCTAGTGTAGAGAAACATTAAAAAAATAATAATACACGAAATGTTAAAAAAATACGTAGTACGTAGCGACAACGAAAGGTTTTTACACACTCCTTGAGTCCTTAAGAACTCCTCTCCCTTTAGGGGCCATCCATAATTTAAAGTACGTTACTTGAATTTCTCTCATCTCTCTCTCTCTCTCTCTCTCTATCTATCTCTCTCTCTCTCTCAAATCTGTCTTCAATCACTCTTTTTTTGAGCCACTGTTGGTAATTTTTTATTATTATTATACCTTCGTGAGACATACTAAATTAATGATTATGTTTTCGACTTACTCACGTAATTGTTTGATGTGATGCTCGACTAGTTTCAAGCCATGCTAGAGGCCCATATTCATGAGCAGCATTCCGCGAGACGCGACGCGGCGACTGTTGCGGAATGTTGCGCCGTTGGAAACATTCTAGAGAACCCCGCCTACCTAGTGTGACGTCACATGTTTTGCTATTTCACATGGAAAAATCATTAAATAGAAACAATAAAATGACGCGAGGTAAGGGCGTGTCACACTAGAGCGGCGGACATGAACTCGTCAACAGAACAATTTTAACCGTGTTCTCCTAATGATAGAGTCCAAAATATTATTTAGTTTGATTAAGATTTCAAATAACGCAGAATGGAAAAAAAATATACATATTGCGCCGACCCCAAATAAAACGGGACAAGGGCAGGAAGATGTTGATGATTAATATTTAAAATAACGCGATTAGTACCTCTACATATTTTAGATTTTGCATGTTGAAACGATGTCACGAAACTTAGAACCCCTCCCACCACTTGTCACACATTGTCGACGTTGACGTTTGACGTACTTTATGGATGACCCCTTATGGGGATGCTATGTTATTATACAAGGTAGAATAATACGTGGTCGTTCGTGTTGCAGGCGAGGGCCGGCACGTGCAGGGCGCGGGGCACGGCAACCAGGTGCAGGGCATGCGCGCCGCCCGCGCCGGGGCGCTGCTCTCCTGCGGCATCGACGACACGCTGCGCCGCGCCCAGCCCGCCGCTGAAGGTAAACCTCTTTTTCTTATTATGCCACTACCTAATTTCGCGCTTTTATAAATCGTAGCTTCGTGTTTTATAGCCTACTAGCTTCTCTCCCGCAATTTCACTCGCTGCTCGTCACCTACTATTTTATATTTTTATAGCTTAAAGCCTACCTCGATTAATGTACAACAAACCCTCCAGCTTTATAATATTAGTATAGATATCATTCAAGAACATTGTAGCTGTGTATCAGTGAAAGAATATTGGAAATCTGACCACTGATTTCGAAGGTTACCAAGAGATTTTGAAGGTTATCAAGATTACTTACAAACTTATAACTAATATTATAATATTAGTATAGATAGGTCGACAAACGAGCACTGAGTAGACGGATTACCTGATGGTAAGCAATTGGTGCCACCATTGGACTCCCGCAACAACACCAAAAGAGTTACGAGTGCGTTGCCGGCTTATTAAGGATAAGGGTTTCGGATGTTTAAGGCTTTCGATAATCTCACCCACACGGCGAAACACAACGCTTAGAATGTTTCACGCTGGTTTTCTGTGAGGCCGTGGTATCACTTCAGTCGAGCCGACCCATTCGTGCCGAAGCATTTCTCTCCCACACTTACTTGCTCATGACATTCACATTTACAGAAATGAATATTTTACAGGTGAAGTACCGACATACACGGACGTATCGATTCCCCTCGGGTCCCAGCCGCGCGGCATGGACCATATCATTGAAGATGACACTACCATCGTCGCTACTGTCAAAGAGGTAATATCTTAGTAGATGGTACCCCTTCGGAAATTAAAGAGCTGTTTGATGGCTTCCGCCCTACAAATACTGGAATATCTTTGCATGATAACACAATACCCTACTAAACAAATTACATAAACAATATTCAAATGTTAATAGAATTTTTTATGTCTTATGGCTTCTTCATGGGGTAACTTGATTATTTCAATCCAAGCCAAGAGCTTACAAATTAGCGTATGATAAGATTATGAGTATGTTAGGACCTAAAGAGAAATAATTACCAACATAATCATCTACTAGGGCCTATGAGAGTCATAATACAAACTGCGGTTGGCGCAGTGGCTAAGCAACGTGTCGCAGGTTCGATTCCCGCACAAAGCAACTTTATGATCCACAAATGTTGTCTCGGTTCTGGGTGGCTGTGTATGTGAATTTTGTAGATTTATAAACGCACCTACGACACTGGAGGAAAACCTACGGTAGGGCAACGTTTTTTTTAAAGAGAGAAGAACAAAAAAAAAATTGCAAAGTTTTTGCCTTTGATTCGCAGTTGGCGGTAGTGATCGGTAATAGCAAGCAGTCGAGCTTGCCTCTATCGTACGAGCCGACTTGCGTCAGTATCGACACCAAGTCCAGGCACGTCGCTGTTGGTGGTAAGTTTACATAATATATGATATTATTTAAGAATTATGCAGCATAAAATTACATGGGCGGACTTAATGCCTTAGGCATTATTACCACCTTAGGGTGATGCAGAGAGAGCATGCAAATGAATGTTCTTTTATTTGTTTCCTTATGTTGTTTCACATTACTAATTATGTTGATATTTTTATTTAAATTTTAATTTCGTATTCGCATAACTTCGTCAATTTTGTTCCTATTGTAATTTTCCTTAGTTTAATGTTTATGTTTACATACGACGAGTGATGTGTACATCTGTTAAATATATACATACAAAAACTCTGTCTCAGTCATAAAATTAAGAAAATGCATTTTATGTGTATTGTTATACCTTATTGAATAAAGTAAAATAAACATTGTGTAACCATTATAAATTATAACTAATAATTCGTCAATACAGGAGCCGACAACAAAGTCCACATATACACTTTGGACGTCCGAACCCTAACTCCTGGCGTGACCATGGACCACCTGGGCCCCGTCACCGATGTGGCCTTCAGTCCCGACTCTAAATATTTGGTCGCCAGCGACGCCAATAGGAAGCTTATTCTCTATTCGACTGATGAATACAAGGTATGTATTCCAAGTGCTTTTTTTTGTCAGGGGAAAATCATCAAATGACTTCTCCCGCCCAGGGTAAGGCGAAAGAGAGTGTCAGGCTCTTACTGACTAAAAACACAACACACACGGCCTGCTCGTTTGGGCAAACGAGCAGGCCGATAAGCCGATGATAAGCAATCAGCGACGCTCATGAAGGTGTCCACCAACGGAGGAGTTACGAGTACGTTGCCGACCTTTTAGGATTAGGGTTTTGGAGATTTTGTCGATTGGGGAGGAGAAAAATGGGCCTCTGGTGAAGCTGTAGTGGTTTCACGCCGGTTTTCTGTGAACACATGGGTATCACTCTTTATACCAATATCAATTTATAGTTCACGTTATCGATAACGTGAGCTTTTCAACTTTATATCAGTGACTTCTAAATATGCCTGTTTCATTTTCTTCATATAAGTGGCCGATTTTAATGAAATATGTACCACATAAGTTCAAGTGGCACATAGAACATTACAATTACGTTTAATATTTGAATTTGTCTTGTACATAGCGCCTATTCAGACATTGTGAAATATGCTATCGATTTACAAACAAAGATCGATGTGTTTACGTGTTCGTTGGGTGAATTCACAAGGTTTTTACTGTAAATATTATGCTACAATCGATATAATTTGTAATTTATTAATATTAAAGCACTTATCTACAAATTTATGCTCTAACGTAGTGTAGTTTAAGTTTGGAATAAGTATTTACGTAGGCATGTATAAAATAGTTTGTCTCATATTTTGTTATAATTAAATTGTTTATATTTAAGTAAGTTTGTTTCAATAGTTTAATCAATAGAATAAGTTTTGATAAATAAATAAATAAAAAATAAATAAAACATCCTTAGGTAGTGATAGATTTAGGTTTAGAACACGCCAAGCTGAATGTTTCGTTACATATATAAAATTATGTACCCCACGCTCCCTGGTCACGGGATCCTCAACTATACATTATATTTTCCCAGCTGGCCCACAACAAGGAGTGGGGCTTCCACACCGCCCGCGTCAACTGCGTGGCTTGGAGCCCTGACTCGTCGCGCATCGCGTCGGGCTCCCTCGACACATGCATCATCATCTGGAGCGTGGACGCGCCCAACAAACATACCATCATTAAAAGTAAGTCAATGTTCTAATATTTATTACCTATATATCAGCTACTACTCAGCTTTTTCTAAGTTGCAATGTTTTACATATAAGACTGCACAGTTGGCCCGGTGGCTGAGCAACTGGCTGCGGCGTAACGTGTCGAGGGTTCGATTCCCGCATGGACCAACACTTTTATGTGACCTACAAATTGTTCTTCCGGGTCTGGGTCTCATATGTATGTGAAATTGTATGTTTATAAACGCACCCTCGACACAAGAGAATATCCTGGTATAAGGCAAGGTTTTTTTTCTAAAAAAGATAAGTATATTCTATATTTAAATTAATAAATTAAACTCAATGAAACAAAAAATACACTTTGATATTTCTTTATTAAATAACATAAAACCCCTTATCTGTTTTTAAAACTTTTACTCTGAACAGAAATTTCAACTAGGATATTTATTTATAATATTCCAACTAGTGAGTTATAGACTTATGCGAAAGCGACTTTAAATAAATACAACTAGCTCAACTAAAAGTAAAGTATACGCCTATAGCAAGCGTGGTGATTAAAGATCAAACATTTTCCGTATGAGAAGAGGCCTTTGCCCAGCAGTGGGCACTCATGGGCTGATATGTGAGTGAAGTGTATAGTACCAATAATGTTGTTTTTTATTTTCAGATGCACACCCTCAAAGCCAGATTACTGGGTTAGCTTGGCTCGACGACGAAACCGTCGTGTCGGTCGGACAGGACGCGAACACACGCGTCTGGACCGTACCTAAAGCTTAGACCTTCCTAATATAACAATTTGGCGGAATATTCTATGACCATCACCATTTTTACGCAATCTCAACCTGCGCACGAGTTGATGACTAAAAACTCTAAATTATTTTATGTATTTGGATTTTATCTGTGGGCAGGCCCATTTTTTATTTCAATCTACATTTTTTTTTATTCATTAATGTTTGAAGTGAACTATATAAGATATAAAAAATTAATATCAACAAAAGTCATCATACGGATATTCCCCCGATACTATAATATGATAGATATAAATAACTCAGATTATCTAGCTTGTATAAGATAAATTTGTACTAATGTATTTATTTCGCTTACTACAATTAAGTTATGAACTGCCTCCGTTAGTTAACAATAAATATGATTTTTGTTACTAACAATTAATTAAAAACGCTCGCATATTGAACTGTGGACTATAAAATTTTATTTATTCAAACTTTAAACCGCAAACTGTTATTGAAAAAAGAATTTATTTGAAATCCAAAAAAAAAAAAAAATTAAAATGTGACTCCGATCTTATAATATTTTTGATAAAGTTTATAATATGCGGTTTGCATCCAATTATTGCATTTATTTCTAGTCTAATTTTTATATTTATGCAATATGTATCGATACGCAAAATCCATTATAACCATTTGAGTCAACATATAGAATCGACAGTGTAAATCTATGTTAGTCGATTCGATTGACATTAGTCGAGTAATGTATACAATCAATGATACTGAGCCAGCTCTGGTGGAGATGTTTATAGGCTTGAGTAACTACTGTCTACTATATCTACCAAGTGGACCCTAAACTAATTTGCTAATACATCATCATCATCACCATTTGTAATACGCATACTGCTAAAACAGAGGTGGGGTGATTTACACCTAATAGGTTGCTTGGAGTAAGGTCACTTAATCAGTAGCCAATTCGCGCCCTTCGTTTTTTGAAATGCGTTTAATAACAATATTACTTTATATCTTTTTTATTTTTTTTATAAAGAGCAAAGTCCCGTCTTTTTCTATGCGAGCATCGTGATTTTTGTTTTGTACTGAACATGGTGCGATCTGTATGGTCCTTTTTATACCCGTCGATGCATACTAACGGTGTGAAATCGCATTTATATTGTCCTATTAAGATAAATATTTTATATTATTTGGAAAGATAAATCATAATTTAACTATCTCGGGAATCATTAATTAAGTTGTACGTCTCACGTAATTATTCGACGAGGAAGGTCGACTAGTTTCAAGCTATAACGGGGCTCATACTCGTGGTATAGTTACGTGCGTAAGCCGTGCATCGCAATTAAAGAAATAGGTTCAGAACGACAAAACAAGTTTTGGTGTAAAAAAAATTAAATTATTTTTCAACAACTTAATGTAACTTGTATTTTTAGATATTTATACCCATATATTTCTATCATCCGGATAGGTAGGTTCATTTTTGAGGCGAATTTTAACAAAGTGGTCATTCAAACCTTTCTGAGTCTATTCTATACTTTCACCCACCTTTTTTGCCTCCTCCCCTTTTCTGTGTCTTGTGTTGCATCTTATTTTACGCCTTCGTTTCACAGATTTTTTAATTGTGATCCATTTCGATAAAAATATAAGTACTTTTCCGATATTGTAAAATGGACACCAACTAAACGTAATTCAAGTTCGTATACCTATCACGAAGGTTTAATTTAAATTGTAAGTAGCAATTTAAAAAACGAATGTTTTCAATATAATAAAATTCTCTGTTTTATTTCTAGTATTTTTAAACTTGTACTAAGTACCTATATTCAGTTCAAAATAACATTCGATATTTAAGAAAGAAAGCGATTTTTTTATTTTTATTATGTTGTTTTTGTAATGGCTATTACTTTTGCTCTTAATACCATCCTTATGTCTTTAGAATAAAAGCCAAAGTCGGTTAAATGGACAGTATAAAAAGTTTGTTTACGAAATGATATCAATTTTAAACGTTTCTGTGACCAATATTTCAATCTACATTCGTGGGTTGTTAATCCCAATAGATAAAAGTAATTGGCTGCCAAGTCGGAAAATTATTTAACACATTTTCAATCTTAGTTGTTTGCAACAGAGTTGAAATTGTATTAGAAAAGCTTCTGACATTGCGAACTGTTTCTGTCGTTGTAATTAAATACAATAAGTTTATAATGTGCAAACTACAAAAACAGTTTTAAAGATTTTGTAATAAGGTCTATAATTGACTAGCTAATGTAGTCACGTGTTTAAGAGAAATCATTAAAACATCTTCGTATAATTTTTATATACTTAAAATTTATATTATCAAAATTCTGTATGTCAGTTATCTTTCCAAATAATGTGTTAAAAATATTTTTGAAACAGTATTTTTATACTAATTCATGATGTAATTTTTCTTAGTTTTACGCGATTTCTACTAAAATGAAGTTATATAAGATGATGAAATAAACTTGTATACACTTGTACATTGGTTTTGATTTTTGTCCTTTATGTGATAGGTTAGTATTCAGATCGCTTGGTGATTGGCAATATTTTCAGGAATTCAGGATTAGGGATTGGGGTATGTGGGGATTGCTAATAAGGGAGGGGGGGAGTTTATGGGCCCTCAGCTAACCTTACTTACACGCCGAAAACAACGCTGTGGTTATATAGCGATGATTTTCTGTGAGGCCGTGGTATTACTCCGGTCGAGCTGGCCTATTTGTGCCGAAACATGGCTTTTTCCCCGCCCATGTGGTTCGGGTGAGAGCGTTAGACCCTTGCTGACTTTAAACACCCCCGTTCCTTCTCCTGCTGAGGCTGAGGCCGCGATGCCTTATTGTACCTTTCCCGCAACCTTTACTTGATTGGTTGATAGCGACTGTTGAATATAGTTTTTAGTTTGATTTTTGACCTGATTGTGATGTAATCTTAAATTCAAATAAGCAGAATAACTTAACTAAAGTAGTAACAAAGTAGGCTGCGCGACGTCGCCGCGTCCGCGCACGCTGCTCATGAGGAAGAACCCCTCTGTGGTTCGAAACTAGTAGAGCTTTTCTCAATATATACACGTGAGTAACCCGCGATTTTTTAGTTAATTTAGTATGTCTCACGATAGTTATTATAAAAACAAAGCAGAATAACAATCACTACACAGCAGACTCCCATAGTAATGTAGGTACAGGTCAGCTGGCAATCACGTTGCAAACTAGCCGTATTGTCACGTCACCGTTCGGACGGCGAGTTAGAGTAGCTCGCCACCCCACCAGAACCATACCCGAGCGTACGGCGCATAGCGTTTCACGCACGCCTCAAAGAGCCAATAGACCACCACAGACGGGGCTCTATAGAGCTAATGTTCACCGCGGCCTCGACCTAAAGCAGGAGAAGGAGCTGGGGGTTTTTAGTCAGCATGACACTCTCTCGCCTTTTCCTGGGCGGGAAAAGATATTTTATGATTTTCTCTTAACAAAATAAAAAAAAATATAAACGTCACCGCAGTCAGCATACTCTCCTATAATTAGCGACAAAACAATCACAATCAGCAGGCCTTAATGTTGAGACCGACGGTTGTTGTCGGGATATCTGTATAGGTGCTAATTGTGTGGAAAACTCTTATAGCGCGATGTAGACTCTTGCACGTGATTGGTGCTGTTGTTTATGTAGTGCGCTAGATGTCGCTACAACCTCATACGCTTGGGCGTAGTTCCAATACCGGCAATGTACTTCTCCCTATCCCCATACCAGCCGGAACAGGAGATGATGAGGAGATGGAATGGAAGCAAGGATAGATTTATATTCATTTAGAAGTCTGTCAGTTCTGCCTCTGCCAGTTATTTTCCTTGACTTTTTTTCCTATAAGAATATACTAGATACCTAATGAAACCGCTTTTAGTCAAACGTTTATTAAGACCGCTGATGGTTAGCTAGTTCCCACGGTAACTAGTTAATAATTATACAAAGATACCATAGAAGGCCCAATCTCCCCCTTCTATCCCATCCCAATCCTTAAAACTTCGAAACATCGCCAAATGGCTGGCGACGCACGCAGCGGGTGTCTATGGGCGGCGGTGATTGCTTACTATCAGGTAATACGTACCATATTTTGCCGATCTATATAGCATAAAAAACAGTGTACCGCAGTACCGCTGTCCATTCCCTTGTAGGATAAAAGGCTTGACGGTATATGCTTTTCTGATCTCTCAACCTCTTGACCTTGTTTTCAAATCACTGCTATAGGTTATCAAATGCAAAACAAGAAGGCCTAGCATTATATTTGACAGACGCTAACCATTTAAGTAGGTATAACTTTATCTTACGTACCTATCTGTAAAAACCCACAATTTTTAATACTCATTGGCCGAATGAATCCAAGATAGTAGGTACCTAATTAGGTATATACTGACTCAATAGGCATAGGTATTGGATCTCTTATGTCAAACAGCCTACATCAAAATTGTGGTATAACTAACTACTGTTACCACAACATAAAATTTTGTGAGTTGATCAACAAAATAGCCCAGGGACATATCACAAGACATCAGCCTGTTGTTTTACTGATGGGTGATAGTACAGGTGTTAGAAAAAAGGACATTCTTGATGGTATCAACACCTTATTAAAGCTGGATTTGGGAAAGATAGTTTTATGTGCTTTCCCATATTCAGACACTCTGTCAGTGTCTGAAAATCAAAGAATAAATAGCATAAACAATATGATATTTAATTTGACTTGTCATAGTGACAATTTGTTATTTTTTGATACTAACAAATTTGTTAGTGGTTTTAAATTGACTAGGAAATCTTTGTCCATTCCTAGAAAATGTAAAGTTTTACTTGCTAGCCTTCTAGCAAATATTATTAACTTAGCATGTAGTTTAAGTGACGATACTGCATTATTTAGATACTCTAATAATGTAGTGATAGACTGTACATATAATAGTACGATGGAGACTCAACATTTAGTGACAAATGTGGGTAGCACTCCAGATAACTTTTTAAATTAAATTTTGAGACAACGGAAGAAAACCTTTTAAATTCTAATGCTACAAGTTATCAAAAGGTATCTTCTCGCAATAAATTATATTATAAAAACAAACGAGGAAATTTTACACTCCTCAGTCAAAATATTCAGGGCATTTCATCCAAGTTACCAGAATTG